AAGATAAATTAATTAAATAAATTAACACTTAACATCTGTATGCACTCAGATTAAAAAATGCCAATTTTTAAACTAGGAAAATAAAAGGTTGAATTATAAAGTGTGTTAATAAATAAATCGAACACGAGAGATTATAGCTGCTAAAAGTCAGAGCTAGCTATTCGAGAGAGATCCTGGAAAGAAGTTGGTGGTGCGTAGTTGTTGCTGCTTGTGGGATTCTCGACAGAGTGTTCGTCTTGGGGTTTCTAGAGGGATCAAGACGTTTAATTTTCAATAGAAAAAACCGTTACATTTTATGTGTTTATATTAGGCAACAAAAAAAGGTCAACCATAAATAAAGTGTTATGTGTAGATTTGAAATTTGTATTGAAATAATTGTAACGGTATATAGTGTGAAAGAATGATGACGGCACGGCGGTATCATCAAAGGGCCGATTGATGTTGTGTATTTATTGCCTTATTTTATATCACTTATATTTGAATGTTCTAAATGATGGTATATGATTGGATGTTGATTTTTCTCGAATGATAGAAGCCCACTGGAATTTGTGTGCTTAAAAAGATGGAATAGGCGGCAATCGCGTCTATGTCGATATAAAGTAAGTAATACTCGAATTGTGAAATGAAGACAATATACAATAGTATGACTGAGGCGGCAGTGTCCTCAAAGGGCCGTAAGAGATGGCATGCAGTTCTGTTATATTTGACACATATATAAATTATTTTGCTTGTAGATAAGCTTGCATCCCTCTCGAATAGCGAACGATCCGTTAGATTTATTAAATTATTTTCCTTTTGTGAAATACCAAGTACTCGGCCATATTTGAATCTTTTAGTTACATTTTTGTAATGTTATTAATAATAAATAATATACAGTTATAATATTATGTTATGTGAGCATAACATTACAATACTCTCATCGATGCAAATAGAAAAAAATAAATTTTGATTTAAATCGTGTATTAATTGATTTTCAATATTAGAATTCATACCTAGTATTCTCTCTTTTATAGTATTTCTACTGATTGACAAATCATTAATAAGTTGTATAATTGCATCTTTATTATCAAAGTTGTGAAAAAGATTATCAGCGCAGTCTAACGAAGACATTTTAATAAAATCTTCATCACTAAACTGTTTTCCCCGAATAGCAATAGGCTTTGCAACATCAAAACTGGCAGACACTTAGTTATTAGATTTTTTAACAAATTTAATTAATTTATTACTTTGTGCGTCTTTATTTGATAGTGCACGTGAAATAAAATATTTTAGTTCATCGGCAGATTTTGTTAACAGTGTTTTATGAATAGTTTCAAAAAGATGTTTGACAGATGAAGTCCGACATACAACATTTTCTGAACACAGTACACATAATGCTTTATTATTTTTGAATATCATACCATATTTGAATGTCCACCATCATCCTCATAATTTTTAAAATTTCACGATACACGACACAAATGCGCATACCCAGAAATTGGCTAACGGCCTATGATGAATGATACTGTAATAATGATACGTGATAATGTTAAAAATAAAACCAAATTGTTTGATACTGATTTCTGGGCATGCGCATTCGTGTCGTGTACTTCGAAATTTTGAAGGTGTTGGGGATAATGTTGGACACAATTCGATGCTAAAGCGTTTATACAAATAACTATATCTATAGTATATGATCTAAGTGTCATACCTATGATTCAATTATCTTCAATTCTATTAATGATTATCTTTTCTCTTACATATACTTATCTCGTTATTATATAGTCATGTTTTTATATTATCATTCTAATTCATACGGTAATATAGAGATTTCGCTTTGTCTATAAACTGAAGCAAATAATGTAGTCTAATTTTACAAAATCATTATATTATGAAGACTAAAATATTGTACAGATTCAACAGTTTTGGGAATCCATATATTTATAATGCATTGTACAAATTTTAATTAGCAATTCCTCCCTTTGAATATTTTTTTAAGTGCTGTTTGATAATATTTTTGAGGGACTTTAAGTAATTTAATATTTTTTTTATAAACATTCTTTACAGGAAAAACTATTATGCCTCCCAAAGAAGTTCAATTCGATAAATTTTATTTTTATTTTTCTATAGTATAATTTTATATTTATATTTAATTTTAATTATAAGAGATCTAAATTAACCTACTTGTTTTTAATTATTAAATCAAAATCCAAATTCCAATGTTTTATAGGAAGTAAACAGATAAAGAAATTATTGTAGTTATAATATTCTTCAATGAGGTAAGAAAATATTTATCCTGTAAAAAGTACAGGTCGCGCGCTAGGCCCTTTGATATTAAAATTAAAAATAATTAAACTATATGTGAAGATATCTTTTGAGACTTGATTGTTATTAACATCAAGTATTTCTAAATAACCATCAGTCTAATAACGCTTTATAATTATTATTAGAAATTGTACTGTTTATTTCACATTGAGTAAAATTATATAAGTATATACTATATAGCATACAAATTACAAAAAAACTATAATAATGTATCTTACTAAATCTAAAAAAATATAATAATATATTATATTAATCTATGATGTTCTTACGTATTAAATGAGCAATAATTTATCGATTTATAATTTAATATTTAATAATTATAATAATAATATAATAAAATACATAAACTATATTGAGTATGATATTATGATATATTATATATATATATATTATGATATTATTATACGGGTAACCGTAACAAATATAATATGAAATATAAATAAGGGAGCAACCCTTAAAGAGTTTATGTAGCTTATGTAGAATTAGTAAGTAATAAAATTATACCCACATTTTAAAAGTACATTACATTTATAATTATTTGTACCTAAACGGGTTTAAACTGGTAATCATTACATAAATAATATTTTATGGTCATTTGAATGTCACAATTATTTTTACTTGATACATATTTTGCGCGTTTATTTAACCTAACCTTGCGCAATATAAGAATATCGTTTACGAAATTATTATAAACGAAACAATTGCGTTACACTGCGTATTTTTTTTAATTACAATTTTTTTGACTACAGCACTCCTCTCAGAAATAATTGAATCTATAATTTAGACGTATTTACATTTCACCAGTTTAAAAGATAAAAAGAAAAAAAAAATAGTATTTTACATTAAATGGTTGTGATAAGAAGCATATATTTTGGCACTGAAATTCATCCCCCCCCCCTCTTTAGTAAGTAATTTATAATTCCCTTAAAAATATATTTTTATTCTATCGCATAAGCTAAAAAAAAAATTATATATATAATACAAAGTAAATGGAATGTAAGAAAGTTAAAAAATTATTTGCTACAAAATAATATCATAATATGATATTATATATTATGCATACACGAAAATATGTATGTAAAACAAAAACTGAACCTATCGATATGGTATAAAATATTTTGTGATGAACAAATCTATAAAAAAAAAAAAAAAATAAAATACCTAATAAAAAATGTACATAATATATACCAACGAAATGCACACATACTATTATATACGAATATTACAACTATCATAAGTTCTGTTTACATATTTTAAAAAAAATAAATCATTACATTCGCCCGCACAATACTTTTTTTAAAAGTAATTACGTCTAAAATATTATCTATATAATATATTATTATCATATACTTAAATAATTACAAACTGTTCGATGTATTATATTGTTTATATACATAATATCGTCATAAAATAAAAAAAAAAAACATTCTTAAAACACCGTCACATTTAAACATGATTGAAAATAATAATTATAATAATAATAAAATGGCATCAGAACGAATAGAGCAACAAAATAAAATGCCGTCGTTCGATTAGAGGTAAGTAAGGTATGTACTCTTACACTGGAATTGTGTCCCGAATAACATACAAACAATAGAAATAATATTAAAAGTTAGTCGAAAAAAATAATTTTTCTAAAAATATTTTACAAAGAGTTACAGAAAGAATTTCAGTCGACTTTGGCAATTTTCAGTGTATAAATAAATTCTGAGTATGAAATTTCAAACTACGCTAAATGAAAATGTAATCAATGTAATTTCTAAGTATGTAGACGATATAGGTTTGTTGTCGACATATTATGCAAAATAGGTTTGGAATTGTATTTGTATTTTTTTTTTTCCATGAAAACGAGCTTTAGTCAATACAATTGCATAATATAATATTTGGTCAAAATGAATAAGTGTGGTCATAAAAGTCACAATTTGTAAATGCTTAAGATGTATTAAATAGTTGTTTGTGTCTTAAGCAGCAATAGCTATGTTTGACTTAACCCCGAACCTCTCCAAAATCTGCTCGGGTGAAACTTAACTAGATGATTTAAAAAAAAAAAAATTATTTAGCAATATATTGTTAATTATTGAATTACTATTTATAAATAGAAAAAACTGGATTTAATAATATGCATATTGGAAAATTTATTTTTCAAAAAAAACATGACATTTGTATAGATAGGAACTCATTCTCTAAATGGTAATAAGTACTTAATGTTTTTTAATTTTTGACCGAAGTCTGTTGTTGTCTAAAATATATAATTTTTGTTACTGTTGTAATAGTTGATTTTTTAAACGCATTTCCTAAATGTATTTAATGGCTACTCGGTGTGCGACTCGTGTAATTTACCTTACCGAACCTCTAACCTCTAATCGTCGATGACATCTTTTCTACAGGAATTTCACAATGAAATTTGTTCTCTTCGAGGGGTCACAGCGAAGATCAAAAAATTCGAGTTTCGAATACAATACAATATATTGTTTGCATAATTTATTTTTTTTCTCCTAAACGGTCACCTCTCACGGACATAGAGTAGAGATCGACAAAAGACGATCACAACGGTAATAATTAATAATAGTGTACTTTTAAATACTAATGGCAATAATTATTAATTATCAACACGGTGAAGATTTCAATTGATCACGACACGTCGACCTCGTCCGATGTCCGCATATTATATTTCGTGTAACGCATATATATATAAAACTCCATCATTGACATACTGATAAATCGGTACCGATGATGATGGACATTTTTTATATATTTTGTTTATTTTATATATTTTGTCTTTTGACGCGTAAACTCCAACGCGATTATTACGTATAAGTATAAGCATCTATACGTATTATAATAAAATATATTATATTATGTTTTTTTTAATAATTAAAAAAAAAGTAGAAAAACACGTAATCAAAATAGTATAATATGCTCTTAAATAATAATCAGTACATCATTCCGGGGTGTATACCGGAACGGTGAAAAAACACGTTAGGGTTGTTGGACATGGTGGGCTCCATCGTGGTGTATATGCTGGTGTCCATTCCCGAAAAATTGCACATGTCTGGAAAACGAGAACAAAATATAACCGTTATCGTTATAACAGTTTCGGCAGTGTATTCAGAATATTCAAATGGGATGAGGTAATATATAAACATTTCATATAGATAAAATATCATTGAAAATATAATATTATGATAAAGTAACTTCAAAAAATGACCACACTGAGCAAAAATATCGAGTATAAGTATTGCGTGTAAAAAATCGGATAATTTTTATTACCTACCTAACCTAACGTTTTTCTAGAAAAATGTTACAGACAATTATCGTTATTATAGCTATCTATCATTCTTAATAAAACACCCACTGCGTTTCTGGTAACGAATAAAATAATAATATGTCTTGTGATACGTAGTCACTGCAGGCTTAGTTTATTTCGACTTTGGATAAAAACCTACTTCAAAGTAATGCGACATTTTAATTTCGTACGGAAAAAAAACACGTGAGCAACAGAGCTCCTTCACTAGAGAACCAAATTTTCCACCGCCTATTTTATATAATAATATTTTTTTTAAAACAATAAAACACCCAAACACTAAAATAATATTATAAACTATAATAGTATAGGTACTACTTTCAAGAAAAAAAAAAAATGTGAAATTTTATCATACAAATGATCGGCGGATGACTCATAATATTATTGTACATTTTTAACGCTGAAAATAATAAACAAAAATCAAAAGATCAAGACATTTTTTCCGATCTTCGTATTATTATTTATTAAAAGATACCGGTGGGTAATTTAATAACGTGTTTTAATTTATTTACCTGGTGGACATCTCGAGTAGATAGGCTGTTGGTGACCGCCTCCACTGCCATGGTGACCACCTCCACCTCCTCCTACTCCTCCTCCTCCAACACCAATTCCGCCGCCACCGGCTCCATGGTGCGGCGGATAATAACAATACGGGTAATAATGGTGAGCATATGTCGGCGGAGCGACAAGCGCTACTCGGTCTGCAAAACAATCAATAACGCTAACATCAAACTTATACTTTACATATTATATTATGATTGATTAGATTTACATAAAACATTAAAAAAATTGTATATTTTACAAATTGCAGATAATGCCGGTCTTTAGTAACTCAACTGGATATATTTTATGAAAATTAACTATATAGTAAAGTATAAACTATTTGTGAATAAATCACACCATCAGTAAACGACTGTTTTAGGTGGGAAGTTGGAAAGGAATAGGATTGCTAATTATTGAAGAGTATCTAATTTATAGCTTATAAATAACTGAAAACAATGATAAATTATTTTAATTAAAAATAGTTGTGATCAGTAGAGCACTGTTACTAAGACCGAATTTTTCCTCAACCGACCCGACATGTCGTTGTTAAAATAATATTGTAAAAACAACGAAATATTATTTCGTTTTTCGAAATATAATTGATCTAAAATTGTTATAATTGCCAAAGTTTAATTATATTTTAGTTAGTAAGAGTATTTAAACCCCGAAATGAAATTTGAGCATAATAAAAATACTCAAATTGAGGGCCGAATGTTGAAACCCTAAAATATACATCCTTGATATTTATACCATGCATAGACAAAATGCTATCCTCTGACTTCATTTGAGGAATGACCTACTTCCACAACAACATTGTAAATTCATATTGAAATTAAACCAAAAGTTATTCACTTTAAACCTCCTATAAAACAGTCGTAATTCCCGTAGTTGAGTCGTAGTTCATTTGGTCCAATGGCAACCGCTAAAAGTGTCCAAAAGTAGCAGAATTACATATAAATACATTATACAAGTATATAACAGAAACAGTACAATAGTTTTTATTTTCGGGGAAATACACCAAAAAGGATTTTGAATGAAGCTGGTAAGGTACGAGTCATGTTTTTCAACTTGTAGCCAAAGTAACCGATAAATTGAGACAAATATAGTCAAGTATTATCATTTGATGTTAGATTTAATTAATTTTTCAAAAAATCTGTTGATAATCTAGAAAAAAACCACCAATCAGAAATTCCACATTTTTTATAGTATTGCGAGACGAAAAACATGGAGCATTTTTAATAATCCAAAAAGTACTTTCCTAGAAGGAAAAAAAACACATCTTAATAAAACCTAATTGCTCCGTAATCGCACTTCACACATAATCTATAATCTTCTTTTTCTTTGCCTTCATCCCAGTTAATTAAGGTCTGCCACACTTATCCTAAACTTCCACTCGATCTCCCACCTCGCAGACACTAACTGTCCTTGAATGTCCTCATATCATTCTGAAACGCATCTAACCACCTATTTTTAGTCTTCTTTTTCTGCTCATTCTTCCTACATTTATTTCCATTAGCATTCATAACTCCTTATAATTCCTCTCTCCACATGGCATGCCCAAATCATCTCAGTCTATTTTCTCTCATATTTCTATACTATCAAAACCACTCCTATGCTACCTCATATTATATACTCGTTCTTTATCTTATTTTTTCTCGTTACTCAACTCATTCAGCTAACATTCTCATCGCCGATTAACTCAATCTCTGTTCTATTTTTCTACCTACTACCCAATAATCCAAACCATGCAACACAGTCGGTCTCACTTACATACTCTTGTAGAACTTACTTTTAAGTCTCATTAGAATTCTCTTTTTACATAAAACACCTGACGTTTCTCTCCACTTTATCCAATCACACAAGCAACCCCATTTGTCGCCTTCTACAACGGGTAGAAGTGCAATGTAAATATTATGGTCACTTCTTTCAAAGATAATGCACCGAATCTATAAAGTGATGATAAAAAATCAATAATTTATTTTTTGACTGTACTTTTATTGTTCCTATACCATGGAATATTATTGTCATTTCATCATAAACTTAATATATATTTTTTTAGAGATTCAGAAATTATTCTATTATTTTATAATTACGAATATTGTGTATAAAACCTTATTTTAATTGGGTACGAAATTATATCATTATTATTATTATTAGATACGTAATGGCGGCGTGTGATTTTCACGCAACGAAAAACGTATCGCAAAGAATCGTCCAAATAATGCAAATATTTTATCTCTCCATTGTATAATTTGTGAAATCTTCGGTTGGATTATTAATAAGTATATTATACTCGTAGTTAACCATATTTTCACCTTTTTTTCATTTATTTTAGTTGATTCTCCATACATGCGCTGCTCCATAGGATTTTTGTAGTATAGATATGTACAAACAATTTTATCTCAAATTCCGCACGAATCGACCGTTATTAATAATAATATTATAATACACAATCGACGATTTTCATTTTCGTCTCGTCAACATTTAATCGATAGTAGTAATTATAATTAATAGGAGGTGTAAAATATAAAATAACAATAAACATATAAAACATATAAAATAAATTTTTATCCAAAAAATATGTACATATCGAAATATATTCCCAACATTGTACAGTTATATTAAAGACTTTCTTCGACCTTTTTTTCTAACGTAATATAGTAAAAACTAGATTAAAACGAATTAAACGAAAAAACGAATGAGCACGCGTAACAAAGAAATTGTATACCTATTATATTATATTCTTGTTGGCCACTAAACACAATTTATAATGAACCTCCAATTAAATTGTTAAGCATTTCTGTTTGATCTAAACATTTTATCCATAGAATAGTTACCAAATAAATAATACGAAAAAAACTTGCAAAATTAAAATTCTCAATAGCTTAAAAATGACTCAAATGTTTTGAAATTTTTGTCACGTCTAAAAAAATCAAATATATGGTTTCTGTCAAAATGTCAAGTCTACGAATATTTTTCACTAAATTACAAGCAAAAACCAAATTGAAAATAATAAAAGCATTATTTTTGTAACTTTTCTCGTTTTTTCCCAGTTATTATTAAAACCCTTGAGAAAATCAAAAAAATAAGTTCTTTAAAGTACCTCTCCAGAATAATTCCCTTTCAGAAAAGTTACTATACTCAATACTTCAAAACAAGATTTCTAGTAAAATTTTCGTAAACAATGTAAGAAAAAAAAAATGAACATCATTGTAAAACCAATAGATCTCTCGCTTCGCTCAGAATCTAAAAATAAATAAGACGACATATTTATCTGAGTTATGATCATAGATAATAAAGTAATCGATGGGTCATCTCTATACCAAGTATAGTATACCTTATAAAAAAAAAACGTTCTGTGACGGAAGAGAACTGTTGTTACCAAAATGATAAGACATTGATTGCCAGATAATTGGTAATGATATAAAATGATAATTCTGTGTAATCACTAATATTATTTTATAAGTTATTAAGTTGTTACATGTTAATATTTTGAATTTGTTTTCTCGTTTTTTTTATTTTTTACTCCCACTTTATACAAAGTAAATAAGTATATACTTTTGTTTTTTAAATTGTAACCCCCTTTTGAAAACCAGATTCAAATACAGGATATTTTTCTAGAAAATTTAATTTGCATAATACTAATAACAGATTAATCATTTTGGGTTATAACTATTTAAAGTAGGAAGAGTAAAGAAGAGTAATACATTTCCTATCTATTTTTAAATGATAAATTGATAACTTTTCCCTACTCCTCTGATTTAAAATTTAAATGGATATAATTTATAAATCTTAAATTAGTTTTAAGCAAATGAAAATGTCTAGAAAAATATTTTTTATTTAAATATGTGTAAAAAAAAAAAGGTTTGAAAAAACAAAAGTATGTACCACCTTATATAAGGTGTATAGAGTAATAGTAAAAATTTAAAAACGGTTTAAAATAAAGTTTAAGCAATTCTATAATGGTTATAAAAAAAAGAAAAAAATTAACTAAAAATCTTCCGAGAGAATTGCTGGTTCGTGAAAAAAAAATACTCTTCGAAGGGGGCCAAAATGCGGTAAATCCAAACAAATTCCGGTGTTTACATTTTGTGAGCTGGTTTTTTTTTCTCGTAGCGAATTCAATGTTTGAGTTTAACGTAATCAAATATTATAAGTAGATACATTACATACGGCGGTAATACCTACGAGTATTAGACGGTAAAAACCTTTTGTTATTATTATTATAGATGAATATCGGGCGCACCAAAACCGGAAATACAGGTTATAGGGTACACCGCGGCATGATAAACAATAATTCCGGAATCCGGCGTTTAAATGCTGTTTAAAGTCGAGCGACGTGTGCGCGTGCTGTACGTAAAAACGGCAGGTGTGGCGCTCCAGTAAACTCGCCGAGCAGAACTGTGTGATTCCGGAACGGATTCGTTTGACGAAATTTCTGACGCGCGCAGTTTTTTCTTTAAATATAAATTAATAACTATAGTAACATTCTCGTCACACTGATGACGCCCACAACAGCCAAATTAATATTAAAATATTAATAATTAAACATAGTGTTGTGCGCAGAGAGGTTATGGGTCAAGTGTTACCCCCATTGACTTTTTAATACAAATAAAGGCATTTTTACCCACAGCTGTTGTTTTTAAACAGTTTATATTCAGTGATTTGATCTTGACATTTTTATATTTCAATATTTTCAGTCGAACTACAAGAAAAATAATGATTTAATGATTAAAAATCGGATTTCGAATCCGGCTTTTAAATTCCCGCTGTCCAATTGGGTAAAGAAGAAAATTCTATGATTTATTTATGACGAATTTTCACTACGTCCCCTTCCAATTAAATTCCTGGACATGTCGCTGATTAAACTCTTCTCTCATTTGTTAATTTTTGAAGTCCTTTGCTGTTATGCTTGTTTCAAAAGGCAATTCCTTATCCTACATCACACCACAGAATTCCAATAGAACGAACCTATTACCTGGTCTTAAGAACTTGCTAATGAAACCCTGCTGAACCCAAATAAGCTATATCGTACGTTTGCAAGAACGAGACAGCTATCATTTAAACTATAATAATATACATAATATGTGATTATCTGACAAAGGATTCACCTAGGTCATATACACGAGAGATAGAAGAAAGTACTTTTCTCATTTTGTTTTGTGTTCACATTGGCATTACGAGTATTTTCTATTTTTTTATAATCGACTATACGTCCACCGGCAACAACGACGACAATACGTAGATAACTTGTTATTTTATTATTATACATATTGCAGTGTTACAGTATAGTGATATATGAAAATAAAAACGTACTAACACCGATAACATTTTTAATCAAGTAGGGAAATTATGTTTTTGAAGATAGACGGACAGATCACCAAATACGATTATACTGTTATAATACGTTAGATAATCTAATATAACACGATTAAATATGATAATAAAGACGAATAATGATCGTACTGCATCGAAGACGACGATCGCGATCATATAAAACTGAACAAAACGCGTACATAATTGAGAATTATTCGATACACGCTATATAATGTATATAATATTTTAATGTACTGACGATATACAAACGATACCGCTAACCGGAAAACATGAAACGATTCGATTATTGACACACATTTACACCGATAGGTTACGGACGAACGATTATATTATCGGACAGCCGGAAGGATATTTGTACATTTCACGTGTTCTGAATTAATAAATTAATCAGGACACGTGTGGTTCCGATCAAAATAATAAGTAGGTACAGATCGCCGCTATAGCTGTATTTTTTTTTTTAACACTCGCAAAGCTCTATTAGACTACTAGAGTCGAATTTTCTACCGTCTATTTTATAGAAGTATTCTTTGTAAAACAATAAATGACCGCAAATACTGTAGGTATATTATACAATACTATACTACACTAGGCACAACTACTACTACTTAAAAGAAAAAAAAAATTAAATTTGAGCATAAAAATCGTAGACCGGGAGTTGAAAGTTGAAACTCCCAATTAGCACATCCTCGATACTAACTCCTCTCTCTCACCAGTTTTATTTGGAGGGTTTCTGTAGGAGTTTGAAATTCAACCCAATTTTGTCACTTCAATCCACCTATTAAATAACTCTTAATTAAAACTTTTTCTGAAAACTTTAGAAATAAATAGTTCTAACATTTTGCATTATCATTTTTTTTCACACCCTAATTTTCGGGAGTGAAACGATTACCTAATTTTAATTTTCGAATAGTATTGAAAATGCCTTAAACAGATGGAGTATTAGTTAAAATAAATTTGGTGTTTATATTTTTGATTTCTATCAACTCATTCGGGAGATATTCTACGTATAAGTTTACATAAGGGAAAAATAGTAGAGAACTATTCAAACGTCTTACGCCTTACCATCACACAAACGATACTCCGTTACTTCCCCCCTATCCAAATTTAAAAGTGGAATATTTCATGAACGAGTTGATGGAAATCAAAAATGTCAACACCAAAATTTATTTTAACTAATACTTCATCTATTTAAAGTACTTCCAATAGAGGTTATCATTTGAAGATCAAAAATAGATAGTCGTTTCATCTGTTGATAACAAAAAGAATGATAATGTAACATTTGAGAACTATTTGTTTCTTAAATTTTCAAAAAAAAATTCCGAAAAAAAATAATACTTTTCGAGATAATGAATGTTTCCAGTTGAGTCGATCATCCTGTACATTCTAATACAACAAACACATTATATAGTTCTGTTGTTGTTATAATTATTCCTTTTAGTAGGTGGAAAGTTAATTATTTCAAACATAGAACAACTCTGAGTTTGGAGTCTTTTTCTTCTAAATTTAAATTGAAAATGAAATTGATTTTCAAAGCTACGGAATAATATTTATCTGCATTTCTATTTTGCAATATGATTTTAGTACCTCGGAAATGAACCATTTGGGATTGAAAACCCTTGAGGGTAGATCCCTTACCTCCGAATGTGTTAATTGTCGACGTGTGCTTCATGGGCGTCATGAACGGTTTAAAGTGAAAAAAAGATGGAGACGCGGGTCTGCTGAGCGTACTGAGCTTGTCCTCATCGTACAGACCATCTCGGCCCATCGCGGCCAGTTGCCGACCTTTGGGCATGAACATGACGAGCAGTACGAGCGCCGCTGTGGCACCGAGTCCCAACGCCAGACAGCCGTCCTGGTCACCGGGTTGTGTAGCCCACAAGCCAGCTACGGCCCAGCCCACGCACAGTGGTGCCGTGCAGCCGACAGCTAGGCCAATGTACATCGCCTCACGATAGTTATCTCGGATATGTCTAGACTTGATGGCCAATACGGTGACGGCCAACAATAGACCAGCCGCGTATACCAGGGAACCTAACATGTGCTGGTACTTGGTGTCACAACTGTTGTCCAGGCTGCTTGTCCACTGCAAAAAAATATCACGGTGTTATTATTATGAAACTGGGTTATATTATAGGTGTGACTTGTCGTGGTCTGCACTTACTTGCGACGACAGCAGTTGAGGCGGCGAGTAAATGAGCCACTGGATACCGATGGCCAGTTGTATGGCCACCGTAAAGAACAGCAAGAGCGCTTGGTACGGGGCAGGCAAGTAGACGCCACCGTTGAGGCTAATCAGGAACACGCACTTGACGAGCAGTGTGCCGAACACCATAGAGTACCCGAGTCCGGTGCATAGTCTGACGGTGGCGCACGTCAAGACGGTCGGCTGGGTGCACATGAGCCCGCTGACCGCCGCGCACATGAACAATCCACCCAGAAGTGCCTGTCCCAAGAAAAGATGTCTCCTGCTCGGTTCCGTTTTTCTCGTCTTGCACAACACGAATACCTACAGCGAACAACGGGGAAAAACAAATAAACTAAAAAAAAATACACCATTACTACCACAGTTACTATCCGTTAACATAATTTTCACCGATCAAAAATCAATAAGTATATACAATATACATGTATAACACATATATATATATGTACATAACAGACCGTATTATTCCGGATTTATATTAATTTCAGCGTGGATATAATCGTAACGAATTTCGGTGTACGTGCATGAAAACAGATACACTCGAGTTGCGAATGACACGAATTGCACCCAAAAAGAAAATGTGTGAAAAAGTTAATTTTTAAATACGTATTAAGATTAACTATAGGAGTGTGAAAATAAAATTCAAATATAAACAATTTCTTCCGAAATTGTGTAATCGCATTTTATACGTGATTTAAATTGTATAATAGGTTATTACATTTCATGTAATTACACAATTGTAGAATACATTTATTTTAATAAATGATGTAGTGAAATACATCTTGAGAAAAAGTTATTAAATTAATATATTATGCTAAGCAAAAAGAGATATCTGGATAAATAAGAAATATATATATATATATATTTCTAATTCTTATTTTTCAATGAAAAGCATAGTTTATTATACAGATTATACCATAAATAATATGACTTGGTACGTTATTATGACGGTTATTTTTGGTTATATTTGAAAAATCTGTTATCTATTATGACTGTATTAAACTTTTATCGAAGGTAATAATATAACAACTGACAATAATAAATGTATTGTTGTTTAGTACCTACAAAGTACAAATTAAGATAGGTAACAGATTTTTTTTAATACAATATAAATTCACTGGTATATGGTCTATGATATCTATATATGTGTACAATGTATGTATGCGTTTATTATATTAAAAGTATTATATATAAACTTATATATATATATACATTAATACTATAAATGTGAAAGTAAGTTTGTTTGTTATGAAAAAACATAGACTACTTTTTGAAAATAAAATTTAAAGGATATGAAAGGTTTTCAGGTAATTTTAGTACGAAAATTAAATTATTTTTGTTAAATAATGAATTACAATGATTACATAACAACTTAAATACTAGAAAACTTTCTGCCTTTTTTTGCTCAATATACTGATACGGGCAAAGCAAAACGAGACTAAAGATAAAAAGAATACAAAATTGGTGCGGGCTTTATCAGGTGTGGCACAGTTAGTATATGCATAATATATATACACAAAGTCTATTCAAAAAGTTCCGGCACTGTTTGAATTGCGTGCAATGGAGCATCCAAGAGCAGTAGGATTGATATCACTGACTTCTGTGGGTTCTCCTGAGCATAAATATTTTTGTAGATTGTCTATAACCTTCTTTGTTTTGATGATATCGATGTTTTTATAAAATATTTTTTCGCATGTGGCGATTTTGTAATAAATCCAAACGAAGAACTTTTTTTAGGACGAGAGTTGGGTGAAGAGGATATTTCCTGGCTTAGTAGGTATATGTGTAGTACTTTGGTGCTTTATGAAACGCCATCTGTCGTGTACGCTGTGAACTATAGCATGTTCCATCTATTAGTATAAGATCTATGGGAAACACAATCTCGGATATTCTCTTTTGCTTATCAGTTGTTGTTTAATATATTATGCGTGTTTCAGAAAAATAGTATGTGTGTTTTTAATGGGACTATTAAATTGTCTGGATCCCAATTAAATTGATGAAAAGAATATGAAGTAAGCACTAATCACGTGTATAGGGGAAAGATTGAATCAGTTCTTCCCACGTGCGTGTGGTGTGGTAAAACGAATTACTGCAGAACATAATCTCAAATATGTTGTTCAAAATTACGGCGAGTATAGAAGGCTTTTTGTTGAAGTGTTATTAACGGAGGAGCATCTACCCGACGACGTCCGAGAAATAGCAAAAATGTATAATCACCTCGAATGTCATAATCAGGGTCATAGTAAGCGCCGACAGTATGAGCACCGGCAACACCCATGCATCACGCCGCAACAAAGTAAGCGTGGCCGCTGCGTATTGGTGGACGCCTGAGTTTGGCGATCCCGTGGTGACAATCACGCCCGGCGGTGATGTATATGGGCTGGACGGCAACAGGAACATGTCCGTGCTCATCCCCACCCGTCCGCCGCCCCCTGTCATCTGAACCACACTGGCTGCCGCCTCCATGTCATCGTTGCCTGGTCATCACACCTATTAGTACAAAAGAAGGAAACGTTACATTAGAAACACGATTTGTATGTAATATTTCACAAATGTATTCTCCATCCAATTCAAAGGTATATAGGTATAGGTATATACATTTTAATATATTATCATAGCATACATTTTACATAACTAAACTATAAAATAAATAAAAAAACAACCGTCTAGAAAAGGTTAATATAAGTATCTTAAAAATTTCAGGTTTCTAAGATTATTTCAATCAAATCACAAAAAAAAAAAATTGAAAATTATGAAAACCTTATTTCCATAAACTTTCTCGTTTTTAGTTTTTCCAATTTTTAAAAAAACTACACAGGAAATCAAAAAAAAATAAATACCTTCTTATGCACCAACTAGATGAAATCTCCTTTTAGTGTATTATATTTATGCTATACTCGAAATTCAGATCAAGATTGATGGAAAATGAAAATCAAAAAACTCGATTGCAATTTTTATTTTTAAATTTTTTCGTTTTTTTTACAGTTTTTTCCAATTTGCAAGGAATATCAAAAAATGGCTACTAACTAGATCCAAAAGTGCAAAAAGCACACCTCATAGTGAAATCAATTCATTCATCGCTGAGCTCAGAATTTAAACTTAAGCACGTTTCTTTAATTAACATTTCATAACGAATCTGTATCGAGTATGAGTATAAATTTTCTTTAAAAAAAATTGCAAATGCAGCAAATAAATTCGAGTTTTTTTTGCAATTATTAGCCTTTTGGCTCAGAGCCGATTTATACAAAAATCTAGGGAAAAGTATGATTACAAATTTGCTAACCTCAAATACCAACTTCGAAAAATTGTCTTCATTCCTGATTTTATGTTATGACAAGTGGGTAATTAATTTGACGACATTAATATAACATTAGGGCGTAGATATTTAACCAGTATAATCATGAAATAAAGAAAAAAACCAAAAATGATTAGTTTTCCGAATTTAAAATTGAATAATCGTTCAATTGCCAACTCGATAGTTTAAATTTCAACGTATTGAATGAAATGTCACATCCGCCGTAATATCTCTATCACTCACTAATGCACACCACTATCTTCAACCATGGTTGCTCTTTGAAAAACTGATCACCGCCGACCGTATTCAATGTAATATATTTTGTTTAAAATGGAGTTTTGAATTTTCTCATAGGCAAAAAAAAATATAGATGATCAACTCGGCCGAAAAAGTTATTTGCTTTAGTAGCACCTCAGACGACAATAATTGTAACTACATTGGATATTTACTATTTAACAATTGATTACTAATAAGGACCTTATTGTAAGGGTCTAATATTACCGGTAATATTATATTATGGCATTATTATTATTTACCCATGAAATTTACTACTAGCACAACGAGCGGTTTTAAATAAAACAAATCTAATCGTTTTGTACAGGTATAAGTTTAGGATCGATAATTCCTTTGTCGATGAATTTTCATCCGCGTGACGCGTTTGTTTTCACGAACCTAAACTAGCTGCAGCTAATGACGACGTGGTTTACATAATAATAATAGTTCAAGTAGAGTGTAAACTGAGAGATGCAGAGAACGTTCGCTCGATACACATACCTAGTTAGAAGTCTCCGTCGGGGGCGTAAATATCGTTTACCGGTCTAATGTCGTTATCAAATAATGGACGTATAATGGATTGTTTTTTTTTTCTCTATGTGTCCGACTCGTTTCCTGAGAATATATTTTATTATTATTATTATTATACATCATGTCTCGCACAAGAATTATTATGCATCGCACGTGCGGTGGTTTCAAATTTTGAATCTCGTTTTCGGCAGGAACCTCATAAGGCAAAAGTCTATATATACCCAAGCTAATAACCATCATCATCACGATTCACGAAAATGGTCCATTAATCGGAGGTGCCGAACGTCAATGACAGAAATTTAAGTTTTGCATACACGTCCATGTCGCGAAATATCTCCCGAAATCAATTAAAGTTTTTAAAATTCATACAGTGAAGATAGCAAGTAATAGCAGGTTTTGTAAAATTATTAAAAATGTTTCGGGAAAACATCTTGATACTAAACCTAACAACAAATATTTCAAATTATTTATCTATCTGTAATTGTAAATATTTTTAGCAAAAACAAGTAAATCTCTAAAATCATTTTGAACTTTGAAGGTTAAAGAATGCGTAAACTTTGTTTTTTACGCGCAATAAACATTTTTTTGATAAAAATAGTATCATTTGAATGTTTTTGAGTCAATTAAATTTTCATTTAAATTGTTTCTAAAAATGTAGTTTAAGGCCTGTATATGAACCATTGTGGTTTTCACGGCTTCGTGTCACATCCGGAATCGTTTTGTACAAACTTAATGATTACCTAATGTTCTCTATCTCGCCTTAGTCGAACTTTCCATAGATATTACAAAGTACGTCCGACTTTTTTAAAAAAAATATATATATATATTTATGTATTAGGGTAAAATAACAATTATAAAATCAAATACTATCACTGTTGTAGGATCGAAACTGACTTTATCGCGCGATTTTCAAGAACCTTACTTAATAATCGGTCGTTTACTGAGCAGCATTATTATTGTTGTTATTATATAGCAGAGGCATTTACGAGAAAACTTATTTGAAATATTTTTATTATTTATTTCTTCGCTACATTATAACCGTTTCAAAAGCAATCGATAAATCTGCAATAGGTTCGAAAAAAAAATTGATAATAATAACGACATACATACATACACACTTACACATGCACACAAAGGGGGTGACTGTTGCGGCTGTAACAGTTAATTTATTCGTACGATATACTCCGGGAGACATTATATTATTCGTGATGGTGCAAGACCGCCGCCATGACGAATTTTCAATCGTAATCTCTCTCTCGTATAATATTATTATTACAATGAAACCCGTCTCACTGCAGTGCCAGTGCAGTGTATATACTGTATTATTATTATTATACTCGTATACCCATACGAATGATTTACTCGTATTATAATGTATATTACGTATTATACGATATTATATTATTACCCAGTCTGATCACGTGTCGTCGAATATAACAATAATACATAAAGTACAATAATAAATATTACGTGCTGCTTGGGTCGCGTGCTAGGTTGAAGTATTTACGATTTAGTGTCGTCGTATTTGAAAATTTTATAATATTATCCGTATACGGTTTAACGGAACGTTGCGTGATGGACACGAATTTTCAGCACGGGTCGAAAATTATACCTGTAAACAGCATAATATTGTGTTATAAATCGTCGAAGGGGAGGGGTGGGGTTGCGAATTTTTTCCTGTAATATAGCATTATTTAACGAGGAATGGCGGACTCATACACGTAAAAGTTTAAAAAGTATATCATGGTAGGATATTTTGATCACGATCAGAAATTGAACGTATACAAGTTCTACCCGATGACATGAACGTAATTTAAAAAAAAAAAAATAATAATAAAAAATGAGCAAACTGTTAAAATTTGAATAGGTTTGGCTCTTTAACAAGGACGAAATAATGGACGCAGTGAAAAATGCTTCCAATGTCAGTAACCTTTTTCCTGCGTGGTTTTCCATCGTGGTTTCATACCATTACATGTTATGTATTCTGAAATTTCGCCCGAACCAAAAATATTATGGATTTTCATCATTTGTTCTCTGTATCGTTAAGCTATCGTCGAGCTATTTCAAAATATGACTTACCGAATGCACCAATAGTGCGATCAAAAATACGATACCACCTCTTGATGTTTTATGATTAGATATTTTTTGGGTGGTTTACTCTTTCAAAATCGTATTACACGCAAACATCGGAGTATTTCGAAATGGGTTTTCAGCGTTTCATCCGCAGATCGTTGGACGTGAACTATATAATATTTGGGATAGCCTTTACTTTTTGATTCCCAGTGAAGCGAGGAATATATTGGTTTTAAAATTATGTTTATATTTTTTTTATCTGTGAACATCTTTTCTGAAATTTTGTTTCAATTTTTAAATGTAGCACTTTTTTTGAAAGGAAATCCGACTAAGGTGGTACATTGAGAATCATTTTTAGTTAGTAATTACTAATTATTACATACATTAAATTTCCCTATGTATACTAACTTCCCAACTTCTCACCCACAACATTGGCCCACCCGTGATTTAAAACATGTCCGTCCGGTTTTTTTTTTCCGTAAATTCAGTTTAAAATATTCGCAGAGACTTGAAATTTAGACAATAAAACTTATATTTACCTTTTCTTTAAACTATTTCTTACTGAATACTGTACGTGCGCTTAATGATTATATTATCGATATCACGGATTCGAGTACGGACGTCTTCGGTCAGCCGATCTATTATTATATTTAATATTTACTTGGGCCGAGCGATTGCATAGAGAATTAATTTTAGAACGGTGACGGAAAGAGGACGAAAAACTACATTAAAAAAAAAGAAAAAAACGAACAGTGGGAAATGCACATTTATATTTAAAAAACCGCGTGCACGTGCCGCGTGGGAGTCAGATCACACGTGCGACGAGTTTTTTTTTTCTTTCGTCCTCCGAACGCCGTTTATTATAATTTAGTCGGCTGCTGCTGTCTGTCCATCTTTCTTTTCTTTTCTTTTCATTATTATTATTATTATTATTTTTTTTTTTTTTTTTTAATTCTCTTCTTTTCACTTTTTCGACAAAGTCAAGGCCGCCGGGAAATCATATTACCACAGCGACAGCGCGGCGTGTGCGCCGTCCCGCGGTTTTTTCTTCTCCTCTCTTTTCGAAAATAATATATTTAATTTAACTATATACGTATACGAAATGATTTATCGTACAATAATTGAATTCACACCACGAAATCGTCCGGTAAACCACACGCACGCAGAGGTCAAAGAGGTCCATGTTATTATATTAAAAAATTATACCACCGTCCGAAAGAACCGACACACATATCTGCTCATGTAGTTTGATTAACTGCGAAAAACATATTATAATATTTATTATTGTTATTATTATTATTTAAAAAACCTACACGAACGCATGTAGAGAAAAACAATATTTTGACTTGTTCTAAGAGAACGATAAAAATGTTTTTTTTTTTTTTTAACAAATCGTTTTTCCATTAAGTGTTCTGCCACCACACTATTCCCGTCATATTATTTTCCAAAAAAAAAATTTGTCATTTAAGATATGTTTTATTTTTTGGGAAAACGTTTTCCAGTTAGTAAAAATACTCTGATTAATTCACCTTAAAAAATACGCACAGTGAAACACGAATATAAATTAAGGATATATCGTTTCCGCCAAAATTTAAAATGTCCGTTTCCTCAATTGCCCATTTCCGCCAATATACTTGCTAAAGTCATTATACTTACATTACAAAGTTTTATCAAAAAGTCACTTACATAAAATATAATATAATTTTTGGTCTGTTAGGTTGGTCTATATATGTATAGTTATGTTGGTCTGTTTTTTTCAATAAATTCCATGGTTTAGTTATTAAACGAAAAATACCTCAACAATGATTAACACTAAAACGTTTAAGCCGTTCGTTATGAGTATAGTTATATATCTAGTATAACTCTATAATTATAGAATACCTAAGGGAAATGAAACTTTTATCTTATATTTTTAATATTAACTTTTATCTTAATTAATGATATGAAACAGGTTTGATATTACTATTATTTTAGAACAGTATTAATTTTACAATTGTAGGGGGTAAATTAAATAAACAGACAAAATATTATGTATTAAGAAGAAGTACATATTTGATATAACTTTGTCATGACATAAAAATGCAAAATTTCCTCTAAAAATGTCAAATGTAAATATAAAAATTGTACCTTAGCAGGTATATTGGCGGAAACGGGAATCAAACCTTTTTTTAAGTTGACGGAAACGAGCGACGGCGAAACCGGGCATTTTAAATTTTGACGAAAACAGGTAAGCCCCAAAAAAATTCTAGATTCCTACGATTTTTCTAACAAATAATAATAATAAAAAAACAAATATTGATACATCATTCATATTTTTATTGATTTCTGGATTACCTTGTCTACAAAGCGAAAACGCTACAATCTGACCAGTTCACTGTGATTTGCTAATAATCGTTTTTTGATTTCAATAATTTGTCGCTTTCAATATACTACAAAATTAAATAATCCTTTACATTACAAATATCCCACCTACAACAATGATCACCCACAGTGCGAAGTATTTTTTTTATTAAATAATATTATTGTTTGGTATTAGATTTGAAAATATTAATGACGAGGATATTTTCGATTTAAATATAATAAATATTATTAATAATACATTATACTTTCGAAAATTTTTTCCTCGAATACTTTTCCTTTTGAATACTTTTTCCGTGCGGATATTTTTTTCACACGTACCTACCTGCTGCCTATACACACGCGCGTTCGGCATAAAGAAAGTGTACATAGTATATAATAATAATTATTATTATTATTATTATTATCACATCGATGTGACCCTGTTCCGTCTGCAGATAATAATCAGAGTAAAATCTGGAATAAAAAAATTATCGATTTCGTGCTGGTTCGGCGGTGTGAGAAATCGCCAAAGATGGCTTCTATAATATCGTAAGACCTAATACAAATTGATTCGTGCGGTTATTTCAAACACGATTCGAACCCTAACGATTTTGGACTAGGATATTTCATTCTTTCTCTTTCCAAAATTATCAAAACTTAAACAAAATATGGCATTTTGCATCGACTGTTCTATATCAAGTATACTACATATGCCATCAGAGTTTCTACTAAATAATTGTGCAGGTAATTAATAAGAACATTAAAGTGTATTAGAAATCATAAAACCTTTACAAAAAAATGTCTTTTTAATTTAAAAAGTCAAGGTCGTCACAATTTGTATTGCACAATTCAAATTGCACCATACCCCTTAATATTAAAATTCATAATGATAATATACTGAGTGTCCTACAAAAATATACCCATTGCAATATCTCCTGAGATAACAAAGATAAAACAAATCTGTTTCTTTATATTATTACTTGCAGTGATATAATAATTATATTAGAATTAAATTTCCATGTTTTTGACAGTTTTAAAGTCAAAAACTAAAATTTGGTACCAGAAGCGATCGATCGTCAAATGGGTGACCCAGGTTGTTTGGACAGCCACTACATCGATCTTTCTGAACTCCTGGTACCAATCTTCGAATCATTGGATCTTTCATTGCGAAGGTAACACGTCCAAGTCTTCGAGTCATTCCCCCTTCTGAACTCCTGGTACCATTTATTAAATTTTCGGATCATACCAAGGATTCGTGAGCTACAGTTAGTCGTCAGACACCGTTTGTGGATACCAGAGGATTGTAGTATACCACAATGAAACACCGGTGAGTTGTCGTTGGGTAGCTGTACTTAGTGCCAACTTTTAGTAGACAAAGGATTCTTTTAAATTCTTAAAATACATCATATAAATCATTTTAAAATCGTTTTGAAATGTTGTAGGTACCCATAGTTTCGTATTCATGCCAAAGCTATTCGCGATAATAATACAAAAAACAAAATATTTGTCATTTTAATGCCTATATAATAGTGTATTAAGCGTTTCTATCGGTTAACTGCAACAAATAATATAAGTTTCTGAAAAAAAATTACGAAATTCTGCACACACGCACTAGTTTTATTATTACTGTTTATTGTTGTACGAGTTTTTTTATTTTTGTCAAAAACATGTACACAAATCCGATTTGTTCCCGTCCGTCCGGTATATCCACGACATCCTTTATTTTGTTTCGTTGTCTAGACGACTGCTGCCAAGCAACCGATTGTGTCACCGCGACGGTGACTCGTACATTAAAGCTAACCCGCGGCCTTGTGCCAAATTTTAATTTTCATGTTTTTTGTATGAGCGAACATTTTCTCTCTCCAAGAGCAAATTACCTAGTTTCGCTACGCGACCACTTGCGATGTCATTTTTTACATTTTAAAATTACTGATATCCAACAAAGATGCGTATAGATATCAAATCAATATCAACATGGTGTAGAAAATGAAAACTAAAAATGCCGGACAAGGTATCATGGGGAGGTTATTGTTGTAGGTGGGAATGTGGAAAGATATAGATAATATAAGGTAATGTACTAAACGATAAATCATTTGACTCAAAAAGCGAAGCTCGATCAACTGGTTAGGTTTACATGGTATTAGCCGTATTCATCAACATATTGTTGTCAGTTTTTTTAATTATTTACAAAAGATATTGTAAATCTAAACAAAAATTATTCAAACATAGCACCACTAGGTGAAAAATCTGCATCTTTTATAGTACGATGTAAACAATTATTTGAGTCACTTTTACTCAACGAAAAAAAACTTAGACAGCTAATAGCTTCTTCACTACATCCAGAATAATCTATACACAAAAAAAACATCGATATTTCGGGGAAATTATCATTTGAAATCGAACATGTAAGTAAATGAGCATAAAAAAAAAATAAATATTTTAATACTCGCATTTTTTAAATTATACTCTTGGACGACGCCGTTTTACGATTAACACTTATACTTACTATGACCGTTGTCGGTAAAAAATAATATAATCATAATTTTCTGTTTCGACCCGATGCGATTTTGCGGCCTTGATATGGACATACGGAAACGCGACAAGGTCGATGCACCGCACGTTAGGGTATTTGGCGACATAGGACGTATATTAATAATAATGACAACAACGAAAATACTGTAATTATATCTCGTCATAATTATCATTGTTGTTGTTGTTGCCGTTGGTCGCTGCCGGTTTACGGACGAAAACCCGTATCCATCGTCACCGTAGTGCTGTTACGCGCCGTACGAACCATCGTGGCGGCCAGTCCACGCGAGACGATCTTCTCGGTCGACAGCGCAAAATCCGTTTTCAAAAGTTTTTCATCGTTCCCATGTCCCCGTCCATCACCATTTCTTCGTTTATTTTGTATGCTCTCATCACACACACACACACACACACACACACACACACACATACATACATGACCTAACGATAAAACCTTTGTAAAACCTCCGGACGATGATCGTAAGTATAGTAAAGAAAACGACTTCGTGAAAGACAAGGGACAGTCGTGACCGAATGAAGCATGGACCTTGCAACCTGCGTGACCTGATCCGATCAGGTTAAGTAAGGTTAAGTCAGATAGACACGATGATCAATGGTCAATGAGACAGTACTACACGATATCATGTCCGCAAGGAGTGACAAATAAAAAAGGGGACAAATGGAGATTATATTATTATCACATAGCCAGATAAGGATATTTTCTGTTACCGGAAACTGATTTCAAAGACTCTTTTTAAAAAGAGAGCGTCAGAAAAAAAGTAACGAGGTAAACCAACAAAAAAACCTTATAATTAGAGCTCACAAGTTATTGGAGGTGAGTTTATCAAAATATGCACGCAAAAACCGAAAACTAGCAAAATGTTTTTAATGTTCAATTTTTATACTCGTCGTTATATAGAACAAATTTCCAGCATGGTCTGCTATGAATCGAGAACATACAGTGTTATATGCAACACCTATAATTTCCGAGCCCGGATCATAACTTATTTTTCAATTATCGTACCAAACTACGAATAGTACGAAAGATGTTAGAATTCAATACATTTTTTTGGCTTTAGACTCCCACCCTTGTTATTTACACTATTGGAGCATCTAAAAACAAATTTAAATCAAAAACAAGAGCTTTATCAAGAAGTAAAGACCCCATCATTAAGTACGAACAGCGAAACATGATCCCACCAGGAAAATCTTGATTTCCCGATAGACATGTCGGACTCGTAACGATTGGATCCGGGATCCATTTAAATGAAAAAAACTTCAAAAGGGACTATACTTATCAAAAACTGAAAGGTGTTTCTGAGAACTACTTTAACCTAACCAAACTTTCAGCAAATTCATCATGGAAAAGAGAATTCAAAATTATTTTCTCTCACATACATTTGATCATAAAAATGTTATACTTATATGGTTTAAAAATAAACTGCAACCCCTTCCCCCTCAAATATTATTCTACGTATATATTTGCTCATTAAAAATAAAGTAAAATAGAATCTGGTTGCATAATTAGGTGTTGAAGAATTTATTTTTGATAAAATTAATTTTAGTTTTTAAAATTGTGTTCAAAATTTCTCAGTGGGTATAGTGATAATAACTAGAACTCCCCCCTTCTGGTATTTGAAAACTTAAATTAAAGAAAACTGATAATTTTTTCTTAAATATGAAAGGAACTATTTCAACCTAGTGTGATTATTACATCGTCGTCGGGACGTAACGTAACCGCTCTCCGTAACGATGGCAGCACATCGTTCATTAATAATAATTGTAGACTATAATTCCTGTGATTCCTATAACTCCTGTGACCTACTCGACGTGGTTTTCCTAGTTTTCACTCTACTCTATTAAAACCCGTCGTGGGTTTTCATTAACTAGGTTTTAAATTTACATTTATTATACGACTTTCTCCGAATAGTATCAGGTTTGGACCAACAATAAGTAGATTGGGTTAACAAAAACTAATATTTTCTTTTCTTCCATGATTTCAAGAAAAATATCCCTATCCCGAGTTATTATCCGTTCACCTGACATAAACGAGCTCACGCACACGAAAAGATAGACGACGGTCTTTCTCATTCTATGATTTTTTTATTTATTTATTTTTATATTTTCCGCCTCCATCGGACGTTTCGTGCGTTTAAATTACCATAAATAACTCAAAACACACACATTCGGAAAAAAATACTTGCACACACACAAACCATTATTCCATTATTATGTAGGTATTATGGTTATTGTTATTTATCGTATAGGCAACTATATAATATAATGCCTATGCCTCTTCCGTTACACGCCGTATTACGCGTATATTATACAGGGTGTTTTTTTATTATGATCCACCCATTTCCTCTGCTCCCCAACAATACCTTAAACGAACATTAACTTTTAATTTTCAAATAGCAACTCACCCTTTTAAACACAAATTGGAAAATTATTATTTTTCCAAACATTTCGATACTTATAATAGTTGCAGTAACTTCGTATATTGTATCGTTTATGATATGAGTATGCCAGTTTAAAATTTAAACCACACAAGTAAGGAAGGGTAATAATAGATATTAGATTGTCCATTTTTAGAAGATAACTGTTCCCTAATCTCGTATTCCTGCATTTTAAATTGTAAACGATTATATCCCAAAAATGGTCATACATCTGTTAATAACTACGAAATTCACCTCATCTGACCACAACTTTGAGATGAAACGAGACAAATAAATATAAAAAAAAATTTTCAAATATCTCGATATGTATACGTATTTATAATAACTATACAAAAAACCAGTTCGATCATACTCTACATGCCTTGTCTCAAAATGCACCCAAGAACTAATAATATTCAATATTGAACCTATGCTAATAAATACTTAATAAGTATTTAATAATATTACACAAAACAAACTTAACTACGTATAAAATATATTTTTTTCTTAAAATAGCGAAGCTATTTCGACGAAATGACCCGCTGTGTGGGGTCAATTAAAAACACTGCTATTACGTAATATGTCATATCAGTTGGTTATCACTGAAATATTATCTTATTTTCATAAAATATTCCAAAGAAGTTTAATATTATCATCACTGATTAGTGGTTACAAAATAATCAAGCTGTCCCGTCTTATCTGACATAATCGTCTTGCCTTTGGTAGGCGGCCGGGTTGATATAATAATATTATTATGACTAAAAAAAGCGAAAACACAAAAATCGATTTTACTCGAAATCTTCGTGTATACGTAGATAATCGCCGGACCGTGTTATTGAATATAAAATCACCCTGTATATTAAAATAATAATAATAACAATAAAAAACAACTATATCAGAACGCAAGTTCATAGTATCTATACAGGTATACGTCGCCGTCCGAATATAATAAATACGTTTATATACATATATTCATCGGATATATTTTATCGTTTCAGATTTACACGTTTAAGCATTCACGTCAGACTCGCGCGAGTCCGCCGCCGCAGTATTATTTGTATAGCCGGTACCTATACGCACCGCAACCGTAGTAGTACGTCTGCTGCACTTTCTAAGGTCAATCGGATATAACGTACGAGTGTTACGTACGTACGTAATAATAACGATACACGGGTTTTTTTTTAAACGCTGACCATAAATTAACCGACGACGCGGACGACGGTTAACGTAACGCGGCAATTTAAATTATTACACTCGAAGTTTTTTTCTTTAGATTCTGAGCGCATCGAGGTAAGTATCGGTTTTACGATATGATGTGTGCTTCCCCCCCCCCACCGATTTCTATACCTGTAGAATAATCTTGTGCTGATCGTCAACTTTGGTGCGAATTTTGTCTAGTCGTGGTAAGATAAAAAGGGTTTTTTCCTTGTCGAAAATTGCCCAAGATACAGCCAGATAATATTATACAATATGTAAATTGAATATTCAAAAAAATACGATTTTTTTCTCGAATTTTTCAGAAAAAATTAAAACTCACGACATTAAAAGTGAAGAAATTTAACTACCGTTTTATTGGAAAAAAAAACGATCACAGTCATTTAACTTCTAGAAGTACTCTAAAAGTACACAGCTACGTACACGATCCTCCTTGTACGATCGTCCACGAGACACCGCAGTGGACAGCAACACCGCGCGAAAGTCATGCACCTGATACTTAACAACTGCACGCGTGTATAGTGTGTACATATCGCGTGTGATCCGACGACCACGTGTACACATCAGTGCCGTCAGGCGTCCCGCGATTTTTGGTGACCTTATACTCTGCCTATGAAATTTAATTGTTCTAGAATTTAAATAAATTAAATTTTTAAACAATAATTTTGATGTCTTTTGTAATCAAATCTGAACGATTTTCGATTAATTTTGTGAATACAAAAATATCCATGTGTATGCTCAATTTGTCATATTATTTTTATGAGTACCTTCTCAAAGTAACCCCTACTTCAAAATATCGTCCGTTCAAAATATTCTGCAGTTAGAAATCCTATTCTTATTTAAAATATCCCGTATATAATAATATACCAATATACAAAATATTAGTTTTATCATTTTTGTACAGGTATTCGGAATACTTAAAATATATTCGAACGCGTTTATTTAAATACCCTTTACAAATCTGGTTTTGGTCATATTAGAGCACATTTTTCAGTGCTTTTTATTATTCAAATTCGATCTAAGCTAATAATCATTGTATACTGAGTATTTAAGGTAGCCGTTAATTGTTTATTTATACAACCTTATGGGAAATCACCGTTTTTGAAAACTCTATACTATAAAAGTACACAAGTACGCATAAACCCATAGTATGTTGTTGTACAAACAAATGGTTAATTTTATAATATTTTGTTCTAAATTTTAATTAAGACATTTTAAAATGTGCTCAATTCATCATAAATAGCATTTTAGAACCCCCAATCTTCCGGAGATGGGGGGCGGGGGTGAACTCCCTATTTTAATTTGAGTATGTCCGGGCAAAATGTTCCACGTTACCATTTCAGTGAAACGAGTGATGACGTAAATCCGGATAATTCGAAAATTCCGGTTTTCGGACTTCAACATACGAAAATTCTAATTGTGGATTTAAAAATTATGATTAATTTTTGAATTTTATGAAAATATAACTTTCTAAATGTATCCAAAATTAAAATTTCAAAATCCAAAATCACGATTTTCATTAAATTCCCGTTTTTCGGATTTCGGATTCCGAATATCCAGGTTAGGTTTGTATATTTGGTGAATTCGGATTTTTTGTGATGGTACATACTGACAATGTATATATACGGACATCGTAAAAAACGCATATAATAATATTACAATGCAGCAGTGCCGCCCACGCGGTCACTCGGCCCCCGACGCGGCCGACACGTATAACAATGACCCCTTCATGTACCGCGACTGCGAATAGGTATATAGGTACTTATATGTAAGAAGAATAATGGGTTGCTTAAAATAAAAAAAAAAAACAATATGTATGAGCAGTAGGTATGTATAATACATTATTATTATACTCGTGTGTATAATAATATAGTACCGATGCCCGCGATAAAAATAAAGAAATTGAAAAAGTTAACGACGACAACGATGCTGCGGCAATGTTGTTATTAATATATCATCGCTTGTACCCGTGTAATAAAAAGACCCTTCCGGGTTAACGGACTTTACATTGTTTTGGTTTTGGTTTTTTTTTTTTTTATATACTTCATCACTCCCACGATTGATTTCCTATACACAAATATATATTTATATGCATTATACGCACTCTAGTGTATACGAGGTTTTTTACTGTATTGTTTTTCGGCGGTCAACCCGAAGCAGCGGTAATAATATTATTACAATTATAACAATAATAAACCGGGTGTACCCTTCGATCGGGCGCCGAAGCTTTTGTGCAGCGCCGTCGCTCGGTATCCTGCTGCGACCAGCCGAGACACCGCCACCGTCATACGGGTTCGGCTTAATTAATTAACGATGGCTGTCGCGCGCTTGTGACCGGTTACCGGGTAACCGGTCCACGGATATTCCGTCGCTGTCGCCGCCAAAATCGTGTCGCCCTCAGCCCTCCCCCCTCACCCAAGTTTTCAATACTGCCCCACGGATTGCTACAGTTCGCGTTCGCAACTCGTCGACTACGCTTCGACACCGCCGCCGCCAATGCTCTTGATGAACAATAATATTATTACCTATTATTATTATTATAGGTAGGTTAGGTACCTACTTCACGTCGACCGCCTTCCCGTCTATATACAGCGCACGTATATTATTATAAATATCGCAGTTTATTGTTTATCTTTTTTTTTTTTCATTCTCTCTCCATTCTCCACTCTGTTAAACAGACGAAAAAAAATTGCCTACATTGACTTCACATCGTCATCGGCATAGTATAATAATACACAATATACCTACGAATACGCATGTTATTACCATCATCATTATATTATTATATGTCCGTAGAATATTCCATATCTGCAAACAATACACCATCAAGGTTGAAAACGGTTTTTTTCCTCGTCTTCACTATAATAATATAATATTATAATACGCGCAACGACGTAACCGCCATGACTTGGTCCTTCGATCGCACGACATCTGCGCGTCGATAAAATCCAACGCGACGCACGTTTAAACCAGAGCACAAACGCATGCACGCGGTCGCAGAGCGAAATTACCGCACAGTACAACATATTTTATAATTACACGGCTGTATATTATGTGTACCGTAAAAAGTATAGGTACTTGAAAAAAATTAAACTGATTCGCAATCGGTCGTTCAATTTATTACTAAAAATAACAATATTTGCAAAATAACATTGTCACTTACAATATGGGCAACAGTGCATATTGCGTATCTCGGTTTTTGTAGTTTTACTGAACGATTAAAAAACTATTTTAAAAAAAACAACATTTCGTCTCGACTTGTCTGTAACGAAAACGCGCTATCTATTATCATACAAGAGATAACGTTATATTGATACAAGTAGTGTTATCATTTTCGTGATTTACAGTGTAAACACGGTTCGATCAACAGAAATAATTATAGAACAAAACATTTTCGGTAACACTTGTTTTATTAATACGTTGATAGTAATATAATTTCATTAATTTTGAAATATGTGCTGTTACAATTTAAACGACGATATAATATAACAAATTTTAAAAATAAACGGCCGTGATTTTCGCATACAATTCTAGACCAAAGCTGGTCAAAGAATTATTACAGATGGACGGTAATTGGAACAGTTAATTCGGTATGGAGTAATAGATTAAAAAAAAAATAAAAAACAAAAAACTATAACGTTTCGTACACATTATTATTATTATTTTAACGATAGGTACTTGTTGGAATCGTAAAATGCGCGCGTGCAAACGATTACCTGCGCCGTAAAAGTGAATTTTACTATCGTACGGACCGTTAGACGACGACGACGAGAACCTGTTCGGGGCCAAATAAATCGAAGAGAATGAATATTACACTAAAATATTGTTACGGATTTTTTTTCCTCCGGGTAAACAAAAATCGCGAAAAAAAATTATTTCTAACCACAATTATCAAAAATAAGTATAGGACGACGTTATAATTAATATATAGATATGACGTATATATTATTATTGGTTTATTTTTTCGGTATCTTTGGTATATATCTGTACGGACTGTCTTGATTCTCCCAGTTCTCCCTTCCCCTGGATATATTTTATTGAGACGAGCAAAGGGTTTGCCGGGACTAGTAGCCCCCCGTGGCATACTCAAGGGTGAGGATTAAGAGGACTCCAGCATTAGCTGTGTTAAAATACAAAAATGTAAATAAACTATATTCAGCGTTTAAAATGTATTACTAATAAAGTGAACCTCAAGAAAAAAAGCTGACCTAACCTAAACCTGATATAGGTTGTGGATTTATTATTTTTGCATTATTAGTTTAATTGAAATATATCATTTGCGTTTACTACGATTAGCTTCATCCCGTTAAAAAATGTGGCTGGATACGCCACTGAAAAAGATCGCAGCCCCATTAATAGTTTTACGATATGTATAAGTATTGATTTCCTTTACCAAGGAACGTGCATTATCACTGAAATTGTTCTACAGAGAGCACTGCAGGTTTATAATAAGTACAACGTCTAAAAATAAAAAAACGCAATTAAAAACCGTGCCTTCGCGTGTATATAATATTATATTATAATATTGTTGCGCTCGCGGTAAACGATGAAATAACGGTAAAAAGTCGTGGCGTGCGCATAATGTAATATTTATTATTATACATGTTTTGCCGTTTTCATTTCGATAAATATAGCTACATAGATTTTGTATTATTATTAATATTATTTAAACATAATAATTAACAATGCGACAAGTACATAATACAAGTGTTATAGGTACTTGGTATATTATAACCGGGAGTCGGGCGGCTCGTCGTGACGAAAATATACGCGATTATCGCGCGGTGTCCGGGCCGTAAATCACCGCACGGTCGTACGTCACGGCGATGTATAGATACAATTTTTTTTTTTTTTTTAAATTTTTTTTTAATCTCGCTGCTGCAAACGCGACGCAAACATCGCGATAATAATGCCGTCTAAATTAAAATCGCCGCTGATCGTTCCGAAATGGTCGCGGATGACAATTATCATTACTTTGAATAACGCATAATACGCCTATAATACCTACCTACGCTCAGCCGGGCCGGGAGAGAGTTATACAACGTTAAAATATGCGCTTTTGTGAGATAAAATAATGTGCACGGGCGAGGGCAAATTGACATTCGAGACAACAATGTATATATAGCTATGTATCTAATTTCCGTACTCGCGTTTAACGCGCGTTAAATTCAATTCAACAATATTCATATTATTATATAATATTATAATATATTGTAGTGATGCGTTTCTCATTTAACTCGTGAAAAAGGTGAAAATACTCTTAGAAAAAAAAACCGATGAAATACACGGTTAACAAATACGTTTTAAGTTATTATAAATAAAACTGTTTCCGTATAAAACGTAAAAGAATTCTATTATTTACCTGTGTACCAAAATTTGCGGTTAAATATCATAGCTTAATAATATTGTTTGACTTTGTATCGTTATGAATTGATGATGGCTCTGCAGGGATAATCCAAAAATCAAAAATGGTCAGGTAAAAATATGACCAAATACAAAAATAACCGGTGGAAAAGTTAGCCATTCTCTCTATGGCAATATTTTTCTCCAATATAGGAATATTTAATTATTCGGGATTATTGTTTATACTGTGTTTTGAATATAATTTATGATGGATAATAGTGACTTTAATAAATAATAATAATCTTAGGTAAAAATGATATTATTACCGGCTATCTACCCATTGCATTGTAGCTAGGACACCTACTTTTCAATCTGGAAGAAATAACACGCGGCTTGTAAATAAATGAAAATATACACCTCGGAATTATTAAACATTTGAAAACTATTAGATATCGAACGCTATATTATACGCGAAACAAGATTTCAGATTTCAGATTTTTCTTCTGCAGTCAACTTTCCGAATAAATTGTTGTATATATTGTGTAAAAGCATCGTATTCCTGAATCATTTTATTACAGGTATTATGTCTTTAACGTTTTCTTTGACGGAAAATAACGGCAGTTTTCTTTTCGCGATCTTTGATTGTACACATGCTTTATATACTGCAGGTTGATAAAACATTTCACATAATTCCTATAACGTCACCTCTACCTATACCCTTTTTTTTATTATTATTATTATTATTCAAAAAGCCGTTTGTATTATATTCAAAAACGCTCTCTGGTATGATAATTTCATTTGGCGCAATATTATAAATATTATTATTATACGTAAACCATAGAGTGACGTATACGTATATATATTATATAACTTGTAACAATCACAATATATTAGTTACACTGCAGGAACGCGTGCAATAAAAACCATCACGCGAAATATTTTATATACACGCTGTAGTGGAGCTGGTTGCTACAGGAAGGCGATATCAGTCCGGGAACTGCAGTTATATTATAATTAATAGCTCGAATAGGGTGTATAATATATAATAGTTATTTTGCTTTTTTTTACTCGCAAGGCACGTCTTAAACTATTCGATAATCGCCGACAACTCCGGCCGGTAATTCGATAGGTATATCAATCGAATTCAACAACGATGCGATAATACGTATAAAATGACATCCCGATCATAATGTAATAATGTAGACGCATAATTGTCAATCGTAAAAGTCTTTTGATTTCATAATGTGGGAAAAATACGACAAGATGAACCAATTTATAATTATACGTGTTTCGAACTGACGACTTATTTCTCAAATTATTTACATTATATCGCCAAAAAATAGTTAAACAGGTGTTTTAAAAAAAATATATATTCATCGTTTCGTCGAGTATAATGGCGGTATTGTGGTAAAAACGGAGTACATAGTCTAATTTATGACCCGAAAAAAAAACAGTGCGCGTGTCCGTCGAATCATAATAATAATAATAATAAAGTCACGTTTTGTTTTTTTATTTGTATGATCTGTCGTAGTGACATACGCACTATTCCGAGAAATCGTGTATTCAACGCGTTACTGTGGTAGTAATAATGCGCATAATAATATATGAAATATCTCATATAACATCACATTCAACGATGGACTTTGGTCAACCGGTCGCAAAAAGACAGAAGAATTATTACACGTGGATTACATAATATTAGTGTTAAGGGCGTATTAGTGATGCCGCGATGGTGTATAATATTTTAGTCGATTTAGACCTAAAACCCAGACAAAATTGTATGAATTGTGTTTGACAGATTTTAATTTTTTAAACTGATTATGATACTTTAGGTATTTTACTAAGATATTATGTTGGAAATAGATATTGAATGAATTTACTGGAAATCGTAAAAAGTTACATTGTACTTCAAAAATGTAATTTTTACATATATATTTTTACATTTGCCTATAATGAAAATAATTAAAATTATTACAATGTATTCTAATGAAGAACCATTTAATTAAACCATACAATTTAAAATTACCAAACACAAATTTCAACAGCTATTTCTGGATTTTCGGTCAAAAAAGTCATATTCGTAAAAAACATGCGATTAATAGATAATTTTAAATTCTGAGCGGAGCGCAAAATATTTTGGTTTTACAGTGATGCTTAATTTTTCTTTTCTTTAAACAACTCTTATACCAGAAACTTTGTTTTAATTTTCAAATATAACACTTTTTTTAGATACTTTTATTTATTTATGATACTTTAAGAAGATGCTTTTTTAATTTTCCCAAGAGTTCTCATAATAAATAGGAAAAAACGTAGGAAAAACGGGACAATTTACGAAATGTATTATTTACAAACCGTAAATATTATATGGCCTTTCGAAATATGTATAACCGAACACAGTTCAAAATTATCTTTCGTTAGCAATAATTAATCGTTGCGTACAGATATACCCTCAGATTTTCCCTCTACTTCCCCAACTTCTCACCTACAATAATGGCCCACCCATGAAGTATATCCGTTTGTTTTTATTATTGATATAGTCATTAATATAGGTACAAATACAAATATTTGGATATTATACAAATTTGGTAAACCCTTAATAATCCTGCATTTAATTGAAACGTATGAAACCCAATGATCCGGCCGGAGAAGACAATATGTCGTTTGAATACTTAATACCTATATAATATTACGTTTTAAGTTTTTTTTTTATTTTTACAAAAAAAAGTTATTTAAAATGAGTTATGATTATATCTGTTCCCCAGGGGTGTTCACTTCATTTTGTGTGTGGGTAAAAGGGAAAACAACTTTCGACGTATTGTGAACAGCATAAGGACGCCAACGAAAACCTCGGCGATCGCCGAGCTATTTGCAAGCATATGACTATATTATTACGTTTGTGTTACAAATATCTTTCGCGATTACGAGTGGCCGACGACACGTACGTAAATTAAGTCGTAAAAGAAAATAAAATAAACGAAAGTCTGCCAACCCATATTTACGGTGACAGTGCACATAATATATGTATGACGACAAAATTGATCTGTAAACTTCGATATCGAAAACACTGCAAATGAGAGAGGTAAAAAAAAAGAACGTTATTGGCACTGGACAAACGCTTGAGTATAGATATTATAGGTATCTTTCTCTCTGTATACATGTATATATACGTTTTTTGTCATGTATGTATAGGTAATATACTTTTAATTTTTTCCATATCGGCGCCACTTCGTGTGTAAAAAAGAAAAAAAATAGGTGAAAGTCCGCGACACCGAGACCGATTTATTTATTTACACGCGTATTATAATATTTTTATCATTATTATTATTATTATTATTCGGTCGGGGGCCAAAAAGGTCAACTGTAGTCGTCGTCATCGGTATCTGTGTCGTATAGATTGCGTTTTTTTTTTTTTTATCCAAGCACGACACCTGCACAACGCGCGACTGCGATGGGGTATAGGGCGAAAAAAAATGATACCTATCTGTTATAATACGCGCGCGCCATCGTAATAATATTATAGACACAGTCAACACGGCTGTTATTATATTAATATTATATTTATTATTATTGCGTTGTTAAATTGGCATGACCTCGCGCTGCCAAAGAGCTAAAAAAACTATAGCAGGGTTAATAGAAATATATATTTAAAATAACTACAGATATGAACGATATATGATATAAGAATAATGAAGTTAGGCAGCCATATACAACAAACCTGATATAACCAAGAAGAAAAAAATATAATGATTAACCGATGAAATATTATTTTATGCTATCTAATTATAATATCATACTGTGATGTTGTAGAAACCAAAATGATCGAATAAGTTCTAACGTTTATATTTATCTAGACTTGGACAACTCTGTTCATAAAAAAGCAAAAATTCATAAAAGAAAGTAAATCATTTTCCCCTTTAATCCATATCGTTTTGCATAAAAAATTGGAAGTTGTTGTCAATTAATTTGCGAATGGAAGTGACCGAAAGTTCCAGACACGAATTAAGATACATGGACTGGCATCAAAGTGACTGTGGGGTTTGAAGGAAAGAAGTATCAAATGGTTTGTCCAGTGGAGGATATCGGGGGGGGGAGGGCTCTTTGTGTAAATTTACGATATCCCCCCCCCACGGGATGAAGGTCTAAAATAATCACTGGAGGAAACAAACTCCATAACCTCAGTGGACTTGAAAATCACCCCCCCCCCCTTCAGAACTAGGATACATCCGCCACTGGGTTTGTTTCTTTCCTCACTCCACCGTTTCTACATCGAAAAACTGAGCGAATTAAACATCATCTAGTAACATAATTTTAGAAATATTATAATCTTATATTACGAATTCTTAGACCATGGTCGTGTTTGTAGTGTGGTCCGTGTCCTTTGCCACATACTTGGCGTATAATTAAATAAATCACACATATAAGATTATTAAACATATGGGTTTGTCTTTCAAAATGTTATTTTCGAGTAAAGTGCTGTTCTTTGGGATCTACATACATCTGGCAACTCTAAACAACGAGAAATAGTTCAAAGACAGTTTCTTGGTTTTGAAGGATTTATACTACATATATACCATCTGCCACATGATTACATTCTTGTCTCTGCCGCACTTAATATGGAAACTCTTGCTAGGCGTAGGTTGTAGGACTTGGGTCACAAATTATTGCATTAAAAAGTCGCATGGCGGAAACTTTACTAAATAAAGAAGTAATCCGTTTTAGAATGATTTTTATCGGCTATGTTATGTTATGTATGTTTTATGTATATGCTATGTATGTTATTTTAGATTACTAAAATTTATTAAGACAAGAAATTATCGATTTATACATAACGATCTAAAAAATAAATAATTATTTTATATGTTACTATAATGCCTTACTGGAACTCTTTACATCCGTAATCCAAGATGCTATCAATTTCCATAGTGGATGGACACATATTTTCCTAATAATCCATAGAGTAATTGAAATGATCGCAAAATCATATGGCTGGGCAACGACGGTAGTAGATTTCGTTTGCAGACTGTTAAAGTCAATTTGATGAATTTAACGAGCTGGTGGCTTGTTCAAGCTTAAGTTATTTATCGAACTCGGTGGCTCTAGATTTTTCTTTATTTACTTTTTATGTGACGACGAAAGGATTGTAAAAGTATCGATTAAGTGTAGGAATCTTTATTTTTAGTAAAAAGCAGGTGACTTACGAAGACCTTATAGGTTATAGAGAAAATGCGTTTAGGGAGACCAGAGTAAATGTGAAAATATTTTGTTAAGAAGGATAATAAAGCAATACAGAAGCTAAAGAAGTACAATGAAGAGAAACTGCAAAGAACAGGGTTATAGATGGCAGGTTTTATATTTAGCGATGCGATCTTAAGGTCCAAAATCGAACAGAAGAAAAAAGAGACGACGAAAGGTTCGTGAAATGATATGGGCGGAAAATTCAATATTATTGATGAATCGTCATTTTCAATTTTGTGAATAGCTTCGCTATCTGATGATATTAAGTGCCCACACCTCGGTATCGTTTAACTGCGGTAAACGGCAGCGATTTAGCAATCAAATAACATATTCCATTATTATATATTGTTGCAGCAGCTCTATATAGTTATCGTTATTGTTATTATTATAACTCGACCTATTAAACACGATAACGTCGTCGTTGTCGGGAAATTTACGATTGTGGTCAACGCCTCTGTGCCTATTATTATTATAACCGGGCAATATACTGCCAGTGGTATAAGTGGTAATAGTGCGTATACTTATAATAATAATATATACTTGTATAGCAATAGAAGTGATAGTGTTGGTACTGACATTTAATTTATTTCTCGACGTGGGCAATGTAATTGTATCGAAATATTAATATAATACCTATAATACCTATTCCTATTTCCAGCAGTCTGACGAAATTATATTTTTTTTTTTTTACTTTATTGGCTGGACGCAGCAAGTGCATCATCTAAAAAATAATACGTAACGCTCGCAGCAGGATTCATAGAATATATTTTAATTTGTTTATATATATATATATTGTTTATCAAACGGAAACTATTATGATTTCCCCCATAAAATCCTAAGAAATTATGTATAGATATTAGGTATATATTTTGTATTCATGCGTTCGGGGGTGCTGTGTATAAAATAGGTAATAATCTCTGAAACTATTGATCCGATTCAATGACTGGTATAACTCAAGAGACCAGGGGGAGGAAACCAAATTTGTATGACAATCTATAGTCAAAAGTCAACGGGATTTGAAAAACATAAAATAGTGAAATAAATAAATTTAATAACGTAGTTTTACGAAAAAACAAAATCGTGTTGGCTCATAATATTTTCATCAAAAATGATTAATGTTTAATGCGGTGATTTTTGATTATTTAATAGACCTAATGGAATGGAAATATCTTTGCAAATATACAAATACGTCAACACTTGACGAAATCTATTAAAAATCATTCATGCACTGCAGTTATATACACGAATTAATTATTTTTCGCAAGAATAGTTTACCAACCATGGCATAACAACTATTATAGATGCGGTGCTATATATATTTAACCATGTCTAAAGTGTTTATAATTAAAAATAATTTCAAAAATCATAATCGCCTTTTATTGGTTGTACGCGGATCACCGAGAGGAAAAATACCAGTCTATAGACCGACTACTGCAGACGTGGAAGTGTGATACAAACATTTCGCAAACATCAATAAACATATAAGTGGTAAAAAGCAGGTGATATGTATACTTGTAAACTAAAATAGATAACTAAAGATACTAACAAATATCAAAAATAATAAACAAAATATTTAAAAAAAAAATTAAAATTTTAAATGTTTTCATAACAATGACCGTAGTTATATATGTATTTATATGTAGTTTGTGTCTAGCGTAAATAAAGCGGAACAAGGACAGTATAGATTGGTTACATTTATAAAATATATGGGATAGGTAGGTATATAATATCTTGTAGAAAAGTATAAAAACGAACGATATTTTCGTGATCAAAAAGCTATGCAGGGTGCCCCGTCGTCGTGTTTTACGGGTTTGTACCTCTTGGTATATCACTGTTAATGTTCAATTTTTTTCAATCGGATTTTGTGTCAAAGAGGTACATATATATGTATAAAGAAAAATTAAATTTTTATTTTCATCCCCTAACACTAAACCAGAATTGTCCGGAAAATAATCAGACTGTAAAAATTAAAAAATGTTCAGTAATAATCCAGACTGTAATATTCCGGGAAAAAAATCATTAGCATTTATACAAACTGTAAAATTCGGAAAATGAAACACTATAAATCTCCAGACTGTAATCGGCAGGCAAAATAAATGTTCTGACCAGAATATTCCGGACTGTAAAAATCCGGAAAGCATAAATGCCTAAACCAGAAAGTACCGGACTATAATTCTGAATACAAAAATACGCACCCTGTAAAGTCCCGGACAGAGCATTTATTTTTTCTGCCGGTTACAGTCCGTACATTTACAGTGTTTCATATTCCGGAAGTTTACTGCCCATACGATTATTTTCCGGGATTTTCTAGCCGTCCCCACTAATCACTAAAAAAAAAAAAATAAATAAATAAATGGTTTGTTAACTTTTAAAAATATTTAACATATTCTTTGTAAAAGATAATATTCTAAAAATTAAAATGTACCACACAAAAGGTTCTTAGTAATAGGTATTTTAATTTCTAACACAATAAATCATTAATTTGTAGGTACATAATAAAATGAAACCTGACCTATTTTAAAAATAGTTATTAGAGAATAAATTTATTACGATTGTGATTCCTTATCACGTAATTTAATAGTTTATAATTGAATATAATTTGATCGCACCCTTCCTTTAGAAATTAAAACGCCTATTACTAAGAAAATATTCGTTGGATATGAATGTATGTTAAATTAAAATATTGTTAAAACAATATCTATTACAAATTGGCTACTTCGAAAAAACAAACATATAAAAAGTTATTTTTTTTAGTAATTAATACAAATTTAATTTTTCTCTAAATATATACATCACTTAGAAAGAAAATCCAATTGAAAAAAAAATTAATATGAGTATGTATGATTTCGTACAACTTGTAAGACACTCTATTGTAATCACTATTCGTCGAAATTATGAAATTGATATAGAACGCTACTGTTACTATAATACTGCATGCAGTAAAGGTATGTTTGTGATGTCATTAATTCGGAATAATTCACCGATGAGTCGATATTATAATATGAGTGTAGACGCCGCCATTAACGTGAAGAGAAAAATATTTTTGCGCTTACGTAATAACGTGGATGCATATATTTATCGTTTATAGTATTTTGCGCATAATAAAATAATATCCGAAGAAACAACGGCCTCTGCAGTGTCCGAGGACACAAAATTCATAATAATAATATATTTCGTCATTTTGAAGTAGGTATGTCTGTTTTTACGCATTTTTCAAGCCTCGTTTACACGGTCGTTAAGACGCTGCACGTAATAATTATAATACCAGCAGCTGTTGGCCGAGTTCGGTCTGCCGTTCATATGAAAATAATTATTCAACGTAATATGTCGCGTTAAATATGTCCGCATAGTGTCACTGATTTTCCGTATTAAATATAATAATATGTTTCTTTACAAATTCATTGGATTAGTCGGCTGCTGAATTTTATCATTTATTATTATTACTACAGTAATATTATACTGAATAAAACCACTGGAAAGGAGAAGTAAATGAGTGAATCGTTTTATCAATAATAATCCGAGATATTTTACTATAGATATATTGACATAATATGGAGTGCATGTCCCTATACCTTAAGTTGCCTAATACCAACATTATTAGGTTGGTTAAATTACCTGAGCATATGTACAAGACTTCAGCTGTTTTTTTTTTTTTTTTGTGATAATTTTGATATCGTTGTTAAACTTCTCTATCTCTCGCTTTATTTGAAAGAACAGATAGCTTTACTCTTTTTGTTATGAGTATGTATTTATACATAGGTTCTTTAACATCAATTTTTATTGATGTGATAATTTTAAGTTTCAACAAAGATCTAACAATCTTTTTCAATTCCAAATATCGTTTTGTTTATTAAATATAATTTTATGAGTTATTATAGAACAAATATCAAATTGTATGAAAGGCGGATATGAATTTAAGAAAATCCGATTGGCTTATCCGAAATCAATACTATAAACAATAATGTCCGACAAAATTGATGTATATTATATGGAGTTTTTAATAGGGAAAACAATATTAATAATGGCGTACTATAATAATATTATTATATAAGTACCTATGCAAAATTCGAAAATGAATTCTTATTAAAATCTAAATAATATAATATACATAGTTTATAATACAATTAGAAAGTATAAATAACTTGATGAGATGTCTATATAATATTATAGCAATAATGGCACAATATCGATATTGTAAAAAAATTAACAAAAACGCGTGTCGAATGGAATGCAGGTATTATAATATTGCAAAATTAACATAAACAATTTATGGGAAATTGTTAACAAATAAATCTATGAAAATTAATTTGTATTCACAAAATAGTTGTAGGTAGAATATAATAATACACTAATTAATATTCTTAGGAAGAGAAATTATCAAAATGTCTCTTAATAATACAAATTTAATATTATTAACCGCACAATATTAATAAATGAATATCATTGATATTTTCACCTTAAAAAATAAAACGAAAATATTAATACTGTACAATAAGTACAACATTGTAATAATTAACTTGACCGTAAAATTAAAAACTTAAAATATTATTTCTATTATACCATATTATATAGATTTATTCTTTGGTCTTAAAGAAGAAGGGATTAAGTTAAGTTTTTGTATTATTTTTTTTTATAATTTGTTTCCTTTATTTTTTGGTCTAAATATTTTAAATGTATGTATTTAAAACTTAATGTGTTAGTGCATGTACAAGTATATGCATTTTCAAGATTTAATTTACTTGTATTGAAATCTATACATAGTTGACTTAAGCCCTTCTTTCCTAAACCTATTATATAGTCGAATTCTTCATTTGTTTTTTATAATCGGATAAAGTATTCAAGCCATAAAAAAAAAAATCATTAGGATGATTATGATGCATATCATATAACATAATATGTTGTATTGCATACGCATACATAGATTTTCTTCCCCTTCAGTAAAGCTACTAAAATATACCGTGTCCCGATCAAAATTAGACGATGATAAACAATAATAATATTATCACTCTTTAAAAAACCCGTCTGCTACCATCTATAATTGTATACGGGAAACAGCATCGAGAATATCATATTACGCCAGCCACGGAATGAGTAAACACAGACAGCTTTTTTTTGTTATATCTACCTATATAAAAAGATAAAAACACATCGTTCATACACGTCGCATAATCATTGCACACACACGTGGCATAAGGTTATTCAAATCATATCCTCCTAATAGCATAATATACTACAAAATATTTCCTAGTCTCGTCGGTACCTATGTTCGTAATATAAAATATATTTTATTTTGATAAGAACGCGTGGAGTTGTCATTTGAAAAATTACAACGGTTCGTTGAAACGTAAAAGTGGAAAAAATAACCTACGCACACGCACAAAATAATGTACTATCTGTACAATGTACATCCATCAGCTGCTCTGCTGCAGTTTCCGTTCCTCGCAAATGCAAACGATTCAGTTAAGTACCTAGCTATCTGTCATTCTGTCAATCGTGGTTTTTGGCCACGAGCGACACGTCTTGTCGACGTTGTTCACTCGGTCGTGTTTTATTATCACGAAATCAGCACACATTCAAGTCTCCCACGGACTTTGACGAGAACTACGCAATAATTATGCTGCCGATTATTCTTATTTTCCGAGGAAGCGCGCGACATGGTGGCGGCGACGGCGGCGCCCTGAAGACAAAATGTAACGGTATCTAAAAAATGATGCGTATATGGTACCTAATAAATTATCTACAGCTTGTCGAATTTCGGATAAGCGTAACATGAAATTATATTTAGAAGAGTAGGTATAATATTTCGAGTAGGTCTATAGTAGGTATTATATGTATAGGTGTTTCTCGGATAGCCTTAAAATAATTATTGCCCATTGTTTGATAGTAATAAAGTTTCTCACTGGGAATCTATTATACCCATACGACGAAGAAAAAGTGTTAAAATAATATATACTATTATTAGCCACATTTGAAAACTTTATTAAGTATTTGCATAATATAATATTTTTATCGTACTGTCGGACCACTTTAGTACACCGGATCTCAATTGAAATTATAGTAAAACATGAAATTGTATTATATTTTAACGTCGTAACGGCAACGATATTGACGACGGCAGTGTTACCGAGTTTAAAGGTCGGAAACTAGGTTTAGAAAAAAAAAAAATACCGGGATCATGATTAGTGTGTTATACTGTTAGACAAATATTACTATAATAATAATACAAATGCAATATAATATATCTTGCACGTAGACCTATCACCGAATCGTGAATGATGATGAAAATAATAATCATCATTATTACATTATTATAATAACAATTAATATTAATAGTTACGTGATTTATCAACTGATAAATAACATAGATAGGTAAGCATTATCCAGAAGTTTTATACGAAACAAGTTTGCATGCAGGTATTTGCAATGCCCGCGAATATAATATACGCGAGAGAATAAAAACCATAACCATATAATACAAAATAAAGAAGTTAAATTTCCCTGACAACCCCACGTTCGAAATGCATGAATATATATGTTTTATCATCGACATTTTTAGAATTTTTACCCCGAGATTTCCTCGAGAAAACTTTTTCTGATAGTGGTGCCGGAAAAATGGCTGAAGTCAATAGCAGTATCATAAAACTAAAACGTATTTGTTCGTATTATATATTTATAAAATTAATAAAAAAAATAACACGCGTGTGTATATCTGCAGCTAACTTTGCGTAGTTGGTATTATTTTTGCTGTAACACGTTTGTTTTACATCTTAATTTATTTTTCTAGGTTTTTTTTTTATTAATTCAACCGTTCCGTATGTGTAAAATGTCCGAAGTGTGCGTGCGGATTTTAGTCCTGTGAAATAATGCACGTTACATAATAATTATTATTAGATACCTATATATTATAATATAACCACGCGATGAAAATACCAGTAGTAACTGCCTATACACTATAATAATATATAATGTTGTATAGGGCTATTGCTAATAATAATAATACGTTTCTTCTCACGACTAAACGGAAATACATTTTACGCATCATTATTATTATTATTGTTATACAGGTATAGCAGAATGAACAAGCGGAGATGTTAACGTACATAATATTATTATACGTCCGTAAATAGAGTAAAAAGAAAAAAAAGAAAAAAGAAATGAAGGTGAAAAAAAAACAATTATTTCACAACCACAACCGCAAATAAAAAACGTAACTATAGATCAAATCAAATCTCAGATCTTTCTCGTTTGACCGAAAATATTACTGGGCCGATTTAATTACACACCTGCACGAATCTTAACCGAACGGTCGTAATAAAAATAAATATATAATATATATTATAACATCTAATAATAAAATATTATGTTTGTCGAGTGACTTTTAACCACACTGCATAGCAGCATTTCATTATTTAAGTTTCAATAGAGCATGTATATATTCATGTAAATACATAAAATATTGTAATATAATGCATTTCAACACAATCGTATTATCTATGCGTAATAATATTACGTGAGTGCAATTCTCATGTTATAATTATTATTTGTTAATTAAATTTTAAAATATTTAATCCTAAGTCGGATTTAAGTAAACAATAAGTAAAAATTACGAAAAGATATACCGAGACAATTATAATATTCTTTCTCCGGCACTTTATTATATTAATTTGAAAAAATATACACAGACACGCATGCGCGTTTAATTATTTTATAATATTATGTATTATTTTTCTAGAAATGGTGAAAGTTATTCGAAACACAGAAAATCGCTGTGTCGTCTGATGTAAAAACGAAAAAATGTTCCGAGTCGAAAAAGTGCATAATATTATACGTATTGTGTATATACGAAAACACCGCTGTGATGGGAACCTCGTAGTCTTAGGATTACAGTACTACGGGACTTAACATTTTCACTCTGCAATTAACCGTGGATACTTTATAAAAGAAAACGTATTATTATAATATTATATATCATCGCGATATAAGTATAAAATATTATAATATTCACTTTCGCAAGTCGGTTTTTTTTTCTACGGTATTCCTATATTGTGCGTATGAACGATATAGGTATCTGAAGCATTTTTTTTTTCTGAGAGGATCTGCGCTACGAGGAAGTCGCCTTGAGAAGTGAGAACCCCACGCGGAAGAACTCGTGGACCTGTTGCACTAAAACGCTGATATTGTACCTATATACTCGTACGCGAACTGTTATTTAACAGCAAGTATAATAACAATAACGATAATAATGATAATGATAATAGAACACCGCGCTAGTGTTTTGTGCGGTGAAAACTCCGTATATTACATCCTTGCAGCGGGTATATAAAAAGAGTTGCCCTTGTCTGAATGCTGCTGCTAGCAACAAAACACGTGATAGTATACACTATATATACACTATTATTATTATTATGTTTATTAACAAACGCGCGTGTCAATATTTTGCGGACAGCTGTTGGTGGAGTATTAACTATAGGTAATGAATATATTGCCGCAGTGTCTTTCGTGTGGACACGCGGAAATCGCGTCTGGGTGCCATTGTATAATAGTGTACAAATATATAGGTGTATACTGACAAAAATATAATGAAACACACATTGCAGTCGATTTTAATTTCCACGTTTCTATAATAATAATAATATATTGTATTATACTTTTTGAAAAACTCCGCGGACCTATATATACAACAAACACAAATTTTTCCACACATGGTTTATTATTATTATTATTATTATTTGTATGTAATTTAATATTATTTGCAACTATTATTATGACGTATTGTTAATAACGTGCGTAAACCGGTGGCGATAGGTAACAAGTAGGGGTATAATATTAAAATTGTTACGCAGAATAAACTAAAAAAATTTCATAAACAATTCTCAATTTTCGTTTTCTATATACACATTACAATAGAGCGATACATGAAATATATTATTATGTCGATAGATTTGTAAAAAAAAAAAATAAGAAAATAGATAATGCGTATTGTATTAATAATAAAAAAAAAAAAAACATGTATTATTATTACTAGTCTCGACTAAATCGACGCTAAATGTCGAAATAATAATAATACTACACATGTATAATTTGGCGAACAGCATTAACATAATATATTTTAACAGTATTGTGCGGTTATTATTTTTAAAATAAAAATCGCCGCGACGCACACAATAACAGTGTGAATATTTCTTTTTATTGAAGCAAAACCGGCCAAATGAATATTTCAAATAACGTAAATAGTACAGAGTTTAAAAAACATAAATAATAAAAAATGAATACATCTATATTAACATTATATTTTACTTTTAAATGATTTTTCTAAAGAATTTAAACAACGCTAATTTTCTTTAGAAGAAAATATTATGCTATAAACGAAATATAAAAGTGTGCAATATATATTTTTTTTCTTTGTTATTATTAGAACACAAATAATATTGCTGTAATGATTGGTACATTTTTGCACGTATATCACTTTAGTCGCTCGTTTTCTCGACGGCGCAGAGAACGTTTATAAGAAATTTCTAAAACCTCATATATTTAAAATGTGTGGATTATCGATGTTAAAAAATTTAAATAAACATGATGTTGTAACACACGCGAGCAAATATGCACGCCTTTTTTACTGTCCTAATCTTATTGAATTTATGTAAACTATTAGAATATAGGTACAAAGCTTTATAGTCGTAGGGCTTAACAAGATGGTGTACACTTATATTTCCCCAGTTGATAGGAAAAGAAAGATAAAATGGCCAAAAAATCGACATCTGGGTATACCAACAACTCTATAACCATACAACTCTCGTCTAAACTTCACACTTAATACTGCTTCGAGGAATTAATGTCCTAAGTAAAACCAAAAATCTAAAACTTTTAGTGACTGAAAAACTACTTCGGGTATAAATAAATGTAGGGATAAAACTGTAAAAGGCCAAAATCCACGTTAAGTAGGTCACATTTTATAATAGAAAATAAAAAATTCGATAATCTTATCCATTATGGTCCAAGAACGTCAATTCATTAGTATTAAAGTCGTAGACCAATACTAAATTTTAATTTTAATAGTTGATACTTTTTTTTTGAGGTTATGTTTCTTATATCACACGGGACGAAGTGATATTTTCCCTAATAAGACTGGCTCAGACAAAGAACTAATCCCAGAAAAAATATCAAAATCCAGAATTTGTACACAATAGATATAATATACAATTTTAACGGAACGAATAGAAGTATAAGAGCGGGAATTTGTGTGTGGTCAAAAACATTGAAAAACCTTATTACGGCTATGTATATAAGTAGGTTTTCTATAATGCTTTATTTTATTGTCAACCATCCATCTTTAGTATGAGCTAAAATATAATAAAGTACAAGGTTGTAATAGTTTTATTACTTAGACGTACTAGTAAAATTTCGTCTATAATATTATTATTGTGATTTTGGTGTAAACGTCTTGTGCCTGACTACATGACGACCCGATTTCGTCACAAAAATAAACAGTATTTCGGCCAAAAATTTATGTCGTTAAAAATAATGGACGATTATATTGTTTATTTACGAGTTTCACCAACTATAAGTTGTTCCATATAAACAGTGTAGTATGTATGTGAAATGATTATATGTGACCCTGTTAAACAGCGCCCAAACGTTTAAATCGCGACAAAAAAACCCTAATATCTTTAAGAAGTTTCTCCAAAATAAAAAATCAATTAGCATCAAAATCAAATTTAGTTCCTGCGAGACTATTTGCGCTTAACGGTCAATACGATTGTCTAGTGATAAAGCAGTAATCAATAACTATAACGCCGTATTTTGTGATTTTTTTTATAAATTTAAAACGGACTCGAAAAACCCGTCGTTACAAAATAGAATAACTAGTACTACTAATGAGTGTGACACTTTGGTGGCAATTTGAGAAAGTAAAATACATAAAGTAAATTAATAATTTGGATTTGTAAACCGCTGTTAATAGAAAATGATTCAGAACAAAGTTTGGTTAAATAGATTTTGAAATGTCGCAATTTTTCATTGATGGTTAAAACTTAAAACGCTAAAAAAAAAATCGTAACAACAAATTTTTGATATTTTTATAGTGTGATAAGAACAGTTTATCATGAAACCCAAGTTAAATTTTCGATCATTTTTACTGCGCTAAAACAATTTTATCTAAATAAAATCAAAATTTAACTGGAAAAAGACGTCCTAGGACAATGAAGACCGGTACAACCACTGTTATAGGTAATTTAATGTATATCTGTAAGCAACAATAAACTATTGCTAAAGAAAAAACGATTCTGAGCGCAGTTCAGTAGATAGTGATGCTTTTTCAATAATATATATGTCATATTATGGTAAAATAATTAAATATTTGTTTAATATTGTATCGATTTTCTCGTTTTTCCTACGTTTTTCCCGTTCATTTGTTTAGAAAAATCTTGGAAAAATCGAAAAATGACCTCCTCAAAGTACATACCCAGTCAGATTTATTTTCGAAAAAAGTGCTATCATTGTAAATCTGAGAAAAACTGCTGGTAGAAAAGTTGTACACAGAAAAAAAGGTCATTTTTTTATTTATACCTACATTTCATACATTTTCCGTTTTTCCAACATTTCATCCCTGTTTTTCCCATTTATTATAAAAACCGATTGAAAAATCACAAAAATTACTTCTCTAAATCATAGAGATAAAATTTATTTTCAGAAAATAAGCTACATTTGATACATAAGAGCAATATTTTTGGTAGAAAAGTTTGCACAACAAATCGTGGGGTATTTTTCGATTATAATCGTCCGAGTGAGCGATAGCTAGGTCTCTAGGTACACTTAAAATGCATTAATTTTTTCCCAATTATATAAAAGCGAAAAAAGTACAAAATATTTCTTTTCAAACAATCAAACTTTTAGTATAATACGTATTCATGACCATTCGACAACAACAAACGTATAGTAAAAATTTCAATATAGAGTTATTTAACATAAACATGTAATATCTACATAATATCTGAACTTTTAAAAGCTGTAATTTCAAAACTTAGTTAATCCACTCAATTCTGACTTTACTATCCTTCTTAAATCGGCAATACACATATGTTCAAAAAAAAAACTTAAATATTAGATTTGTTCCACATAATTTTTTACTCAAAAATGTTCGTCAAAATAGTATCAAAATTCCTTTATAAAAACAAATACTACATTAAACTCAATCTTTTTTTTTTTACCACAAAGTAATATTTAATGAACCTCCTGTTAAATTTTTAAGCATTTCTGTTAAGTCCAACAATTTTACCACAGAGTACCTACCAAATAAAAATTGCGTACAAAACTCGCAAAATTAAAATGTCTATCAATAGCTCAAAACTGACTTCAGTTTTTTGAAAATTGTACCACGTCTAGAAAAGGCAAATGTCAGTATTCTGCGTAAATTTTAAGTCTCTACAAATATTTTTAACTGAATTACAGCAAATAACAAAATTGATAAATTAATAAAAGCATTAATTTCGTACATTTTCTGTCTTTCTTAAGTTTTATCCTGGTTTTTCCCAGATATTATGAAAACCGCTTGGAAAATCAAAAAATATCCTCACAGAAGTAGCATCTGGACAACATTCCCTTTCAGAAATGGTACCATGCGTATATATTTGAGCAAGAATTATGGTCGAAATTTTGTTCCCAGGATAAAAAAAAAAATAAAAAAATAAAACATCTTAGTAAAATCAATACATTCTTCGCTACACTCAGAATCTAAAACTAAAAATTTCAAATGGCTCTACATTTTAACACGTCTATAAAGTGCAAATGTAAATGTTAAATATTTCAGTCCTCTATAATTATTTTTAACATAATTACAACAAAAAAATTTAACCGAAAATAACAAAAACATTATTATGTATCCCTATAAACTTTTTTTTTTTTGGTTTTATATTAATATTATTAAAAAAATTATTAGACAAATCTAAAAATGGCCTTCATCCGAAACACTGACTTTACAAAGTTTGAAACTGATAACCACGTCTAAGTTGAATGATGATCGGAGTAAGATTCCTAGAAGAAAAGTTGTTCACAATCAAAAAAAAAAGACACATAAAATTATAGTAAAACCAATATATTTCTCGCTTCGTCTAGAATCCAAAAAAATACGAATTCGCGTTTAAAATAATAACAGAACAATACCGTATATACGATTTACAATATTACGGGCTCACGTTTTACTGTTATAAACCTACCAGTATAGAAGACCTTATAATAGTATGTAACACAAAGTGTATGCACACAGAACAACGATAATCGACGACGGATACGTCGGCCGATTTTACTACCACACATCCTGCAAAAATGGTCCGTGACAAATGGATACTAAATGAATACCGATTTATAGGAGGGCTATACTTATTGCAGTTTACAAGCGAAACTGCGTCAGAGGTGCCGTAAGCGAATATTTCCCTACATAATAAAATATCGTTACGACGCGGAAAACGACTAGACGGCTAGACAACAAGTGTCGTCTCCCACGAAAAAAAAAATCAGGTTAAAATGTGTAATACACGAATGATGCTTACGTAAAAACGCGGGGGGGGGCGATGCGAATACGATGATGTGCCGCCGCGTATAGTCGGCGAAACGTACAAAAATCACGGGAAATGACACGATAATTAATATTGCATATAGTTCTCGTTGATATAATAAAACGTCTTAATATTAATACAATAAAATTATAAAGATAAATAGAATATATAATATTCCGTTGCGTGATTTGTTGTCTGCTGTTATGATTAACTGACCCTTGGCCTTTACATATCGAATACAAATATCATTCATAACTTGAATATTTATCTACAATGTATATTTCAATATTTCATTCTACATTAATAATTCTAAAACTATACCTGTATTATACCGTGTGTAATTGCGTAGATTGTATATAGGTACTCCAAGAATATCAAATTCGGAATCCCAAAACCAGAAAGTAATTTCAAAAAAAAAACACCGCCAGATCACGAAATCAAAATATAATAAGTATAAGTATAGTATACAAAATTGAGAAAATGTAATTTAAATTATATTTCCTTTTTCGTTTTTTTTTTCTGTCAATTATAATATATATATATATATTATTATTATTAAGACACATAATATATATATATATGTATATAAATCAATTTCGTCTTCTTTGCTTTCCTTCAAACTATACAGGTATAAGTGTATGTAAACAATAATATAATATTATATGTTGGTAAACAATTTCAACCTTATTATGAGATGTATTGCTGCCACAGCCAATGTGATGGGAATCGTTTTCTTTTCAAAATTTCAATTATATAAGTATACGGTGTGAATAAAAAAATAAAAACATTTTGCGTTTCTAAACTAGGTGAAAAATATTATTCTGCTCTAACTCTCTCTCTCTCTCTTCCTTTCAATCTCACTCAGCTAATTAAATGACACACGGATACTGAACGTATACATATTCTAGCTCTTATAATGAATTCACACTCCGAAATATCTAAGATCAAAAGTGACTTTCATGATGATACTAGTTTATGACTATTTTTTTTTACTTATAAATTTAAAAATTAATAAAATATTTTAATTTATTTTATACTTTATGGTGGCGAAGGAAAAAAAACCCAATGAATACCGTACGGGTAAACTACACTTATCATACTTAAACAATCTTCATTATTTTGTTTAGATACGATTTTAAAATGATTATTTAAACCGTTTATTGCAGTGTTGTATCATATATGTAAATAGAAATATGTATTATAGAAAACAGTTATTACAATTCAATTGTTGTGTGTTACAAGTACATGGAAATTAACGAAATATGAAATACAATATACCTGTAGGTATGTAAAATAATATATACAGTTACTTCGCTTATTGTTAAATATATTATTATAAAGAATATAACAATTTGGAAATTAATAAACAAAAATAATTTTATGCTTCAAAATACTAATAATCGTATTTACGTATGAAAATACATAATTAATGTGACGTATATTATTATTTGTAATAAATAATTAAATATAGGTAATATTTATTTTGAAAAATGTGTCTTCAAAATTGGTTAGGTCCTACGCGCCGACACAGCAGCGTACGTGCAACGTTGCCGAAAGTTACTAAAAACCCAAAATATTTCGAGTATATATATTTTGATACGGTCCGAATGATATATTTTATACAATTGTTGCACGTCATTATCGTATTAAATCTGAAAAGTGAGGCCAGTGAGGGATCTCTACGTGTACTATGATGACCTTGTGTATTTAACGCTATTATGGTTTTCGGGAAATGTACGGATTTGCATATCCGGTCATACGTGCATATTATTAAAATGCCGATGGAAATCGTTATGCCGAATGATTAAAAAAAAATACAATAAATGTATATACAATATAATATATAACACGTTCAAATGAACTTACATGATGCAATGTATTATGTTGATAAAGGATTTCATATAATTTTTGAGCAGTTGTACAACGATATTTTTATATTAGGCTACCTATAATATAATACTTGATAGCATTAATACATTTTATATGAGTTATTAATGACAAATTTGTGTCGATAAAATTGAATCATAGTTTGCCGAATATGGCGTTTATGGCATTTATTATATGGTGGAAACTGTGCTGTTCTACATACTCTACTTGTGTATTAATTGATCATGTGTTGAAAAATAAAAATATTGTGGTACAAAATTGACGTATAAAAATGAAACTCACGTGTGTTTACGCTATACGCGTTAATGTCGAGCAGCAGCACTGCTGCAGTAATATACAAAATCTACGAGCTACTCAATTGGTCGCGCTATTGGTTACATGCGTGTTACAGCTCGTTATCGATTTGTTTCAAGACTTTCAAGATCATTATTTCCTTGTTGGTATATGGAACACATACACTATAATATTATATCGTATCATATAGAAATAGTTTTAGTATTTTTCTTTTTTTTTTTCTTTCCTTTGTAATATTTTCCCTCTTACATTATATACGAGTATATACTATATATAATATGTATAACGTATATAATATTATATTAATATTTTGTGATAATAATATGTAAAACCAAAATCTCATAAACACAACACACTCGGATTTTTTCATGATGGACGTACGCACTTGTCACGTCCTTTTCGATATAATACCTATGTATATATCTATTTAAAAAAAGTCTATAACGGGACAAGGTAAATTGTTTATTTTCCCTCTCCTCTCTAAAATCTCATTGCACTATGGTTAGCTCCGTTCGGCTTATTTCGTTTTTGTTTGAACAAATCTCAAATATAAACTAAACGAAATTCAAAAAAGGCTCATACTATACTGATGGGTATTGTCAATGTTTTTTGGAGGAAAGTTGAAAGGGAGTATAAATAGAGTACATAAAGTAATTTAATTTATATCTGTAACTACAAAATGATAAACCACTGCTATAAAAAAACTATTATGATCATAACAATATTTTCAATTGATAACCCAGAAATCAGGGCTTGGAGCCGAAATATAGTATATACTGACACGCGAATGACTATATTATATATTATACTATATTGAGTAACCAGTGTTTAATAAAATTGTAATATTTAGTACCTGCGATAAAAGAAAACTCCCGAGTTAATAACAATAAGTAGATAGGTAGGTAAAAAAATCACTTGGAACGCGGTTTTAACACTATATACGTATAGCCGCAGTGTTGCTGGTTATAACGATAATAATAATAATCGGTTATTATAATACATATATTGTATGCTCGTGCTTATACTACACATATCGGCGGTAATAACAATAATAAATAGTTGGCGCACGTGAAGTCATTATCATCAGGGACCATTTTTGTTATCGCCTCACTCCGGGGCCGACAATTTCGTAGACCTTACGCTAACCACATGGCCACCGATCAACTAGTCGTAAACCGGACAAAAGAAATTTCGCCCTCAGTCTTTAATCGCTTAGACAAGACGCATGCATTTTAAATCGTTACATAATTTGTACCATTCGTGCGACTATACAAGTATAGGTTATATTGAATATCGAATTAAACCTAAACATAAATAATAATATGTAATAACATAGGTACTTGTGATAACAAGAACAGACGGTCACATCTTGTTTTTTCTCTATCGTTTAGACTTGGTTGTATTTTACTGAAATATAATCTAAACCTCTAATATTGTTTTCGCTATCAGTATAATAATACAACGAAACAACATGCAGTAATTCAAATTACTTATGCATCTTGATTATTTTTCGATGTTATTGTATGTTTCAAATATTCAATACTTTTGTACATAGATATATAATTTTTCGGACGTTAAATAAAGCAAACATAATGACAATATTATGATAACACATTAAGTATAGTTTAAACTTAAAATATAATATAGAGGCATATACTGATGATGAGTGTGCCACTATTTTAGGATGAAAGTTGGAATGAAAGATATTATATAGAATATATTCAATTTACATATGTACGTAACGATAAATTATTATTAGTGAAAAATGGATTTTAAATAACGTATAATTAGTCATATATTTTCGTTGCTACTAAGGTGACCCAAAAATGTTATACAATATATTCCAAATATTTCTCATTTATTAAGAAAACTTCAACAAAAATAAAATAATGACCTTCTCAATCTATCAACTAAATTCAAAATGCTACAAAAAAATTATCCTGTTATATTTTAATTTGAGCAATATTACTGATAGAATATTTGATTTCTAATGAAGATTTCGTGTAAATAATGACAATTGTCAATACGATTTTATCTAGGTACCTATATAAAATAATATGATTATTGAGGCGTTAAATTATTGTGAACACAATATTAGATATTTTTCTCACTATAATATTATATGTATTATGTATGCATATTTACTATTGAAACCGATTTAAAACGAACGAAATTTTAAAATTACAATATCTGAATTTGAAAAAACCGAGATTTCCCACAGTTTATTCATATGAAAATTGTACAATATTTCGTACAATTCAACTTAATATACGAGTAATCATACCGGCTGTATAGTTGTATGTCCGAAATTCCGAATTTTATATAGAAGACTTTAAAGTTAAATTTTTGCACATTGTGCGCGGTAAAACGCATGAATTCAATCAAATTAAAACTAGGTCTAAATAAAATATTTATTTTATTTTTTTCATATTTGACATGATACAAAGAAAAACACTGAACTAATCGTTTATTAGGTACTCACCTGTTAAACAGTTTCAGTAATGTTTCAGCCTGTCGACGATAAAAAAAATGTATTGATCACTGCCAATCGTTGTGCAGCATCGATCCCGCGACAGGTAACTAATTTGTAGGTATATAATATAATTTTACGCAATCTAAAACACAAAAACAAAAACCGTATTATTATAAATAGAGGTGTATAGTATACACGAATACGCGTACACTGCACAATATAATTTAGAGTACAAAACGTATACAACGATAATACAAAATCGGCAGCGCGAGGGCAACGTCTCTCTCATCGCGGGTCTTTAATCTCTCTGACACAGTCATAAAGAATATAATAATATTCGCCGCGCACAACAATATACCTAAGCATAGAATATGATACATATATATAAACCGGGTAGATGTAAAAATAAAAAAAAATAAAATAAAAACAAATTCATTACCGACGAAGAGTACGTTTTGGTACTTACACAACACCTTATCGACGCTGTCTAATATCATAATATTATCATTATTATTACGTTGTGCGTTTTGTGGTTCGTCACGTGCACCAAAAGAGTTACGCCGCCCAACCCTTATAACAACATAATATAATATACAGTATGCACTTATAATATAGATACCTTCTACGAATAACACGCACTTCCCGGAGGCTGTGATTATTAATATACTTTATATAGGTACCTCTTAAATAGTATTATTATTATTATGATAGCAGTTTGATGCGTGTGATGTCTGTTTGGCGTCTAATGACCGGTCAGTGTGGCTTAAGTGTACCCACCCGTCGTAATTTTCGCGCGAATTTAACACGAATACAAAATATACACAATATAATATAGAGGCATGTATAGTGTGTACACTAAAACAAATTATCGTCCGTCCAGTCGACCGCTATATATAATAATAATATTATAATAGTATAATAGGTACACACAGTGTATACAGAGTGATTCTTTTATCCGACAATTTTCACGGAGAATTTTAAGTGAATTTGATTTGTTTCTTTTTTTACATCATTATGATTTATCGTTTAAGTTTTATTTGTACATTATTTTTAATTGGTAATCTTTGTATATTACCTAAATGAATACACATCACTTTTGATTTTCAAATAGCAATACCCACCTCCACATTTTTATTTAAACACAAAATCGAATATAGAATATTCATTTAAAAATGTTGATATTCGAAACGCGTATATTGGATTTAACGTTTATGAATTATTATAACGGTTTAAAATGTATACCAGACGAGTAAGGATCATCTATATAAAGTTTATTACTCTTATTCCCTATATTCCTTCGGACTTCGGTCTAAATTGTAAATTATTATAATTCATAAACGGCTACTCCGGCTAATTATGTTACGAGTTTAGACAAATATTCTCAACTCAAATCTGAGTTTGAAAGGGGAGGGGTTGCTATTTAAAAATCAATATTTTATACTTAATTAATTTATAGTTGAGCAAAACAATTGGAAATAATGTTAAAACAAAGCTTAAAGTAACAGTTCCATTATGATTGAAAAAAAAAACAGAAATCCAATTCACTTAAAATCCGAGAAAATAGCGGATCACCCTGTACTATGGGTGTTATGGATGGTAATATTCGTCGGGATTGTGCAGGTTTTGTTTTTAAATAAGTTCAGTTATAAAGTGTAGCGCGCGGTGTGCAGCCTAATATAGGAAGTAGTTCGTAAAAACGAAACTAACAAAAAAAAAACCCTCGTTCGACTACAGGAGGCTATAACGTATAAAACAAGACTAGATTCAAATAGACAAGATAAAAAGTAGAAAGTATATTATATTTGTATAATAGTTGTGAGATAAATATTGAACAGCGGCACTTATTTATTTTTTTTTTATTGTTTTACCAATTTATAATAATTATACAGGTATAGTGTAAAAAAAATCAAATAAATATCTATTTTACTTTTAGATAATTCAATTAAATATTAAAAATAGAAATATTAATGATTATTTATTGATTTAACGATGAAATTGATTTTTATGACGACAAAAACGAATTATATTATAGGTTCGCATATTTTGGAACTAGGCGGACATTGCATGGACAGGTGGATGTTATATTCTATTATCATAATATTTGTCAAGTAAAACAGATTAGGCAGGTACAGTCATTATTATATGTTAACGCGTTTTAAAAAAAAAAAATTATTTATAAAAAAAAAAAAACATAACCCGGATAACAACTAATAAAACAGTTCTGATTTAACGTCGAGTAAAAAATAAAAAAAAAAAAATGCTAGGCGTAGAAACAATGATGAAAATTGGGGTGCATCTGCCGTACACAATTAGACAAATATTAAACTCACGATTAGCTGTTTTAATTATTTTTTCGTTTGGCCACGGCTAAAGATCATCACTATTCTAAAACGTACGAGGAACCAGTTTGTTAGCATAGAAGAAAAAAAACCAAAGAGAGACAGTGAGGTAATTGATTAGGATTGTAGTAATCGCCGACAAAAATCTGTTAACTATCAAACGGAACACACTGAACTAGATTCTTTTTTCCCCTTTATATATCATATGCCGTCTATAAAGTTTACTACATTTAAAATATCTAACGATAATTATTATTGTTTACGAAGAATTTATTCATTGAAAACCGTTTACAGTCAGTCGCACGCCAAGTATGAATCATACAATTTTGTGAATATAATATGCGTGTTTATAATACATTTCAGTGTAGAATAATATATTGTGGAATCACTGCAATGGTTGGACCTAGACTTTATAGATTTGAAACGGAGTTACTGCTGACGGATATAGATACACTTCACCTCGTTCCGGCGGGTTCGGTTGTGACGCAAAATGATAACCGGAATTGGATCCCATGTTCAATAATATTATGTAGGAAAAATAAAGGATTCTAGAAAAAAACGAATTTTTACAGTATTTTGCGCATTTAGTACATTTCTGTCATACTTAATATTACAATATTATGATATAACGAGAAAACAAAAATCTAACGAATTCCACTACAAATATAATAGGTAACTAGAATACATATTGAATGGTGTTTAATATAATACAACGTGTTTCTGTATAAAGCTAAGTATCTAAAATCTTAGACAAAACACAAATATCGTAACTAATATCACGATAAATAACAATAATAATATAACATTATTAATTATCAACGATACATTTAATTTTCTTAAATGGATGATGGTTAAATACTCATATGATTCTTTAGTACGTGTTTTTAACAATACAATATAATAGTATGATAATACAATGTTCTATAATATATACCTATAGCGGATGATCAAGGATAAGACAATTATTGATAAACGGTCGAATATATCGTATATCCGATAAAATGACCTTACCTCACGTTTTGTGACCAAAATTGGAATTAAATAATATCACTTCAATTAGAAACTGGATGTTAAATTGTATTTTTTTTTCACCGCAAATAATATGTCCAAATCGGGTACATTAACATTATGAACATCGCGTTATTTTTCTAGTTAAATTACGTGCTTTGAGTTAAACTATGTAATAATATTATAATGCGTAGTTGCTAATTTGATCGTTTGTAAACTATAATCATTGGAGCACTTGGTATAGAATATTATACTTTTTACGTTTCGCATAAAACTAAAATAAACGGAGCTACACATTTAAATGTAAATTATAAATTATAAATATAATCACAATATTTTTCAGTGACGCGATGAATTTATTAAGAATAGTATATAGATTGCGTTCGTAAAAGAGATGACAGCTTAATTTTATAACCTGAGACGAAAAATGTATTGGTTTTACTACCATACCTATATGTTTTTTTTTTTTTTGATCTGCATACAAATTTTTTAATATAAACCTTTTTCCAATCAGTAGACTATAGACATTTTTCTTGTAGTATTTTCGATCTAACTTGTGCATTGGGATAGTGATTTGTTGTTTTTCCTTGTAGATTACAATTTTGTTGTATAATTGTTTGATATTTCCTGCAGGTTATTTTGGCAACAAAGGAAAACCTATAATAATACTGGGCTCGAAAACAATTTTCATTAAAAGTGGTTATCACCACGTGTACATACAGATATAAATTAAAAACCTAATTTTTTATATAATATCCTACTTGCCCGACTTCCTGCTAACAACAGTGGCGGCACGATGAGTATCAAGGTGGCATTAGTCGTTTTTATTCGTTATCGATATTATAATATTGATATTGTACGTCATGTTAAAACGCTGGTGAGCGCAGGTCATACCCCTTCATCCCCCCCCCTTAAATGGGTAAATTAGTTTGTATAACATTATGATAATTGCTCGACGACGATAATTATCGACAAATTAAAAACTAATCGGACGCGTAAAACGAGTATAATAATAATATAGGTATAGGTAGATAAGTATACATAGGTATACGTATATTATACTTATAGAGAACGCATTATACACGATAGTAACGTCGGAATTAAACAGCCGGGCTATTTGAATAGGCCAAACTATATTGTAGTCGGGTTTTAATGCACGTGCGCTCTGGGGAACGCGTGTTTTATTCTTATCGTGTAAGTATACACGTTTATGCGCATTTTCGATCCGATCTGCAGTCGCGCCAAGACGATGCGATACGGATCTGTACACGATCCCGACTGCGCAGCGACGAGAGCGACGAACACGATTTTTACACTCGTACCGGTCCGTGAAAAATAAATGCCTTGATCACATATTATTATTATCATTAAAAAATATATATTGTAAGTGTTATACAACTATAACAATATTATGCGTATATAAGTTAAGTACGCGTTTTTCAAGTTCGATTTTAATTTATACACAGAATGCTATAGATGCACAATCATCACCCACCGCCGCCGTCACCACAGCTTATGCGCTCACACGTTGTGTATATCTGATCACACGTATATGTACGTATATATCTCATTGGTATACGTACTATGATGTTCGTGGTTTTACATTACGAACGGAATTTTGTTTTTTTTTTTCATTTTCCACCGACATTTCGTATTTCGTTATTATTTATAGACTCCGAGTGGAGTGAATATTTTTTAGATTCTGAGTGAAGCGAAGAAGTTTATGGTTTTATAAATATGTTTATTTTATTTTATTATTTTTTATTTTAATCTGTGTGCAACTTTTCTAATAGAAAACTTGCTCACATTTTTAAGTGTAGCACCTTTTCTGAAAGGAAATCGGTGTGGAAAGGTACATTAAGGATGTAATTTTTCGATTTTCTCAAGAGGTTCTCATCAAATTTGAAACCCCTCTCCCAAAAAAAAAATGGGAAGATGTACGAAATATATTACTAAAATATTAGGAATTTTTTTCCTTTTCAACCAGTAATTAGCAATGTTTCTAAAAGGGAATTTCACTAGGGAGGTACTTTAAAGAGGTCATTTTTTAATTTTCTCAGGAGTTTTCTCAACAAATTTGAAGAACCGAAAAATAAAACGGAGGAAAAACGGGAAAATATAAGAAATGTATGTATTAGTGAAAATACGATTCAGCCTTTTTTTCCTGTGAACAACTTTTCTATAAGCTATTTGAGTCCGATTTATAATGAAAACAATTTTTTTGAAAGGAAATTTTTACTGGGAAAGTACTCGAGGAAGGTCATTTTTCGATTTTTCCAAGAGTTTTCCCAGCAAATATGAAAAACCGGGATAAAACATAGGAAAACCGGAAAAATCGGTACAACATTAAACAAATATTATTAAAGAAAATACATAAAGCCTATTTAATTATTTTACTATAAAATGACACATATATTGTTGACGAAGAATCACTGAACTCCGCTCAAAATCGTTTTTTTTAGGCAATAGTTTATCGTTGCTTACAAATACAAATTAATTTCCCTTTTATATCCTACTTTCCCCACTTCTCACCAACAACAGTGTTGGGTACGCGTTTTTTGTCCATTCGATAATACGAAACGTTTCGAAAAACAAAATCGGGACACAATAATATGCTAATACAATAAATGATTTAAACGGTTTTAAACGCGAATACGATTTTGTTATCGCCCTCATCATACCCGATTATATTTTATTTCTTCTCGATTATCGTAATAATATATCGTTGTAGTATAGTGTTTTTTTTCCATATTTTACACATACGTGATTCTAATGTCAAATAACTGAGAGCCCGCACAAACAGCCGACCCGTGCTATAATGATTCAGTATTTCGTCGTATATTTTGAATTATGATTTCACATAACACAAATATCGTAATAATTATTCCACGAATGCAGACGAGTGCACATCACAAATTAAAACATTCCGTTTATAGTTTACGACAAGTCGTCGCGTGTGAATAAACAGACGCGTGTGTGTGTGTTTTATTTTGTTTAAATTAAGCAATAAACAATATATTTTATATTATACGAATATATTTTATTATTCACTATTGCGTACACCATATTAAGTACGGGCTCTTAAAGAATCATACGTGAACGCATTTAAAAAAAAAAAAAAAAAACGAGACACCGTGTGTCGGTCTATGGATTTTTAACTGAAATTCGGCCGTCCTGAGTTTTCACGTTTTCAAATCGATGCACTATGTTTGTACTGGATGCAAAGACTTGTCAAACTGATGTAATATTTACCCGAGGGTTTGAAGATAATATTATTATTAATTATTAAATAATTACATTATGCTGTGATAGTTATAAAACAATACATAAAGCGAAAAAGACGATGTTTACTACATAAAGTGTATAATCTATAATATAGATTATACAGATTTATTATATGGATTCTATATAATAAAAGTAATCTAGCTATATTCTTTCCTTCGCGTACCCAACCAAGGAATTACCATGTAATTCTTGATAATTAATTTAAAAAAAAAAGTAATAAAAAAAAATAACGATAAAATAGTATTTAATTATTTATAATTTGTCGGTGATAAGACCCAATTAAAGTAATTTTGTATTCCATATTGAATAAAAAACCTACATAATAAAATATTTTTGTTAAAAGGTCCAGAATGTAGATACTTTACAGAAGTTCCCTTTGCAATGTAGGCAACCATTGAGAAAAAAATTTTCAAAATTAAAACCCTGCACGGTTAAAAAAATCTATAAAATACAATTAAGCGGTGTATTTGGCCGATTTAGATCGTTGGAGGGTTGATAAAGGGTGTCAAAGTCATACTTTATCAAAAACGGTTACTTAAAACCGTTTTTAATTTGATTTTTGTGTTTATTTTGATATATCTGATATTAGTATATTATAAACATAAAAATGTATTTATTTAATAAAAAAAATATCTTTAAAAACAATTATAAAAATGTTGATCAAATTTGAATAAGTTGATTTCTCTAATAATTCTATTAGTCTAAAATATTTTTTAATAGAATTTGATTAAAAATGCCGGAAAGTTAACTCAAAATAAGAAAATATGACTTAAAAAGTCCAAAAAATTACCTTAAAAATTAAAAGTGTGAAAAAATGCAAAATAAAAGTTTTGTAAATTAATTTTTCGACTAGTACATAATTCAAATTATAAAAAATGAACTTTCTTACAAATTCACAGCCCTAATAATAACGATAGTTCAATACGCTAGTAACCGTATTATAGTGTTGTAGGTAAATCATTATGTATGCGTCCGGGCGAACGAAAACCAAATGGACCAGTGTGATTCACGGTTGGACGGACTACGACGACGACAGAAGAACAATAATAATAATAATAATAATATAATACGCGCGTGTATACAAATAATATTCTAATGACGACCAGAGGAACGAGAGGAAAGAGAGAGAAAAAAAACACTACGCGCGCACGGTTGCGACGCGTTACTAAACGAGCCGGCCAGAGAGAGATGGGTGCAAAATCGAGACGACTCAATCGCGCGCTACGCCACCGCAGCTTAAGTGGACGTTATACCTACATCTATACTGTCTCATTTCAACTATCGGGTAACATGCAAAAACAATGCTTATGCAGAATAAGTAAAACCAGCTTAATTTTGATTTTAGAGTAAAAATACCGATTATGAAATTTACAGAGAACAATATTTTGGAGGGAATCTTTACTTTTTTTACTATTCAAAATATACAGCTCAATACAAAAACTACAAAAACCTTTATTTTTTTTTTGCTTTTTTAAATAACTGTAACTTTTTTAATAATTCATAATTCAAAAAGCACCAACGTCGTTTTCTCCAAAATATCGTTCTCTATAAATTTCATAATAGGTACTTTTACTCCATAATCAAAATCAAGCTAGTTTTGCTTATTCTGTGCAAGTATTGTTTTTGTATGTTACCTGGCAGTCGGGGACTGGGACAGTTTAGATGCGGATGTAACGTCCGCTTAACCGTAAAGGTTTTTAACGGAAACCGAAAAAAATCGTCGCGGTGTCGATACCTAACTTGTATATTATATTCGTTTCTCGGGCGCGCGCTCGACCGTTTCACGTATGATTAATTTCCCCATAATATCCTCTATTTGGCGGCCGGTGTTATCTCGCGTCGCACAGTAACGCCGCCGGGCGATTTCCGAACGAGTACGGGCCCGGTCTTCCTTGACCTTCGCCGCCGCCGCAAACTTGCGTACACGTGCTTATTGTATTATAACGTCTGGCGGTCGCTTTCCATCGGGGAATTTCGGAACGCGCGATCCACCAAGAAAAAAATAAATCGATCAATACGCCGCCGCCGCCTCTCCTTAATATTATTAACGTGACAATCAAATATTGGCGAACGACCGACGACGAAGACGGTTACCGCTTAACTTAATGTTATTAAAAAACGCGTTCCTGGAATTGATTCCTTTTGAAAGGAACAAATGAAACAATGAATTCCGTTATGTTTTGAATGAAAAGGAACGAAAATAGGTATTGTTTGTTTTTATGAGAAAATAAATTAAATTTAACATAATAATATATGATTTTCAACAAGTCAATTCTAATAAGTAAGAATAGTTTACAATTTTAATTGACTTGATAAATTCACATTACACTTATTTTTTTATGAAAACTATAAGTATCTATACAATAGTAACAAACGAAAACCCTCAATGTCAAATTAATTGTACAATATATTTGAATACTTCCAAAGCAAAATTGTTAGTGATATTATTGTTTTTAAATTAAGAATTTAAAACATTATTTTGATGTGCATTAGGTATTTGCATAACAAAAAAAAAAAAAAAAAAAAAAAAAAAAAAAAAAAAAACGAGAAAAGGGAAACACTTACGGGAACGACTTTATTAATTTAAGGAACGGGTAACGAGAACAAGTTTCTTTTTTGCTGTATAGGAACAATAGGAACAGGAACGAATTTTTTTTCAAAAGGAACTTTGACAACACTGCCGCTTGTATACTACAAGCTACTACAGCTACTACAGCTAAGCTGGCGATATACTTGTGCAGCACATCGATTGCAGCGACGACGACTGTATTATTATTACGAGCGTATAACAATAATAATTATACCCCACACGCAAAACAAACAGCCGCTATAATTAATACATAATATTTTATTTATATATACATATATAAAATAGTACAGTAGCGCAATAACAATTATCGTATTCCGGACGATTGTTCCGACGCGCGGCTACTGATTGTCCTATACGGACGCAAGCGCGCGCCAGCCATCGTATAGGTGCCTACCGAAAATAATATTATTTTACGAGTCTCCCGATAATAACGCGACCATCGCGCGTCATGGTGATGTCGACGACCTGTTGTAACGTCTCCGCCAAAGATCTCGTCCAAACGAGTCGTATCCTCCGAGCGTACAATAATATATAGGTAGGTGCATATATATATATATTATATAATGCGATGTATACAATTTTGAACGAATGGTATAATAATAATAATAATAATAATATGTACTATATTTACGTATATTCTTATAAGCACCCGCCGTGAAGTAATGAATTCTATAATATATTATTATTACTGTATACATATTATATTACCGTATAGTTCCATCCATTGATTTCTCAATAACTCTTCGCGCCAAGTGAATATAATAATACCTAATAATAATAAAATAGTATAATAATATTATACAGATACTATACAGACGAAGTGGAAAAAAATGTGACGGCAAAGACCAGAAGGTATATTGAAAATGTTTAACGACGGTAAATTGCAGTCTGCAGTATCATCAAAGATACCCAAAAGACTAAAAATTAATGTAATAAAATAATTGACATTTTTTAGAGAAAAGTAAAGAATCTCACAATTGATATTATGTACATTTCTTTGTTATAAGAGTATGAAAATGTACAAACTGAACTCCTCCCTTCAATTTTTTTTTATAAACGCACCTCCGTTTCTCACTTATTAGAAAATCTCTTGAAATGAATATAATAGAACGCTGATATGGCTACACTCAGCATATTATACAGTCATAATAATATATTCCGCAAACATAAGATATTAGTGGACAACAAGGGACATGCACTAAGATCGAGATTCACCTCATTCTGAAACGAGATGCGTGTCCAGATGTGACTGCTGCAGTATACCTATACTTGTCGTATCGCTCGGGCTATTAACAGTAATAATTATTATTAACGTCGTTTTACTTTTATAGAGGACGCACGGTAAATCATTAGTAATGAAATAATCGGCTAAAAGCTTTCCACGTCGCGGATCTACAGCAGCGTTACAAATTGCATATATATAATATACTATTGCCAACAACTCGTCAGTTGGATTATGAATACGGACTCGGAACACGTGGTGTAGACAAAAACAATTTCATTACGACCACGACGATCGGATTCCTGCGTTTGTCATTAATAAGGTGACCTTAACTTTACGGCGAATTCGCGTGGCGGACCCAATAACGCGCGGTCTCTCCCCCAAGACGACCGGAGGAATATTGAAGCAGTATTTACCTATGTACCTCTATCGATGACGTTAAGACGGATTAGCCGTGTACGAGATTAACAGAAAAAAAAAACCGGGCCGCGGAACATAATACGCTCACGGAGTATTGGTCACAAAATCAGGTTTCCGACCTGCAGTGGCGGCGGCGGCAAACACACACGGATGCAGTTCGGAGCGAAACGGCGAGTTTGCGATTTGTCCGGTGACCGAGTGTATTATAGTATTATAAGTACGCGACGACGCTGAACAAAGACGAGTAAATAAATATAAACGAGCCCGAACAACAAAGGTCAACGTATTTTTTTTTTCACATACGATAGCAGGTACGTGTATATTATAATATTATTATATGTAAAACAATAAACGGAGGGAATAAGTCGTGTAGGACGTCGCGGTCACCGTCGTCTATATAGGGGTTTAAAAGATCATCCTTGGGCGCGCATTACAGAGACTCGGCCACTGCAGCGTACACACACACACACACACACACACACACATACACAATAGCATACGGGATGAGAAGAGGGGAGAGATGGCGGTGAAGGAATAAAAATATAAGAAAAGGATTACAATGAAAAAAATAAAAAATACTCCTCGTCGTTGTCGTAGTATAGTCGTTTGATAATAATAATAATAATAATACCGTAACCGATGGAGCGGTATTATATTATAAACGCATAAATGCTCCGGAGACAGAGAGACGGTAGTGATTTCAAAGTCGTTAACTACGGAATTCTCTATGATACCTATAAAAATAATACGTCTGCATTCCCTGCGGATATAACCACCGCCGCTGCCGCATTGTACAACGGATTCATTCACGTATCCGCTGTGCGTACGACAACGACGTTTAATGTGCACTCTCGGTTTCGCAAAGTCCTTTCGTCGCGACACCGACGACCGACGATGATAATAATAGACGTCGAGGGGGAAATCAATGGACAAAAAACTAAAAACTAAAAAAAATATATATATATTAAAAACCCGTGAACAATGCGACGGCGCCTGCTACTGCGTGTTTACGTAAATTGTATCATATATTATAATACTACATCCGGCGGTTTAATGAACTAGAACTGCATGTTTCTATTATAATATTAGGTATATAGGTGCGAGTGTACGACTGCCGAACGTTTATCAGACCGTGGTAACCCAAATGCACCTTGGGATTAGGTTGGTAGGTATATAAATGTATTAAAGATATAAAATAAAATAACGATAATATATATATATATATATATATATATATATTTAGATATAGATATAGATATGAACCATCAGTGAAAAAAAAATTTGCGCCGACCGAATTATATGGTCTTCGTTATTCAATCGACTCTCGCGTTCGCGCAAAAATACAACGAACGCAGATGATGTACGTGCATCACGAAGTTACTTATAATTCGAACGGTATACTATAATAATAACAAATGATTACGATGGAGATTTATACATTCACGAGATTTCGTCGAAAAAACATATTTATATAAATGACTGGCAATGGCATATTTATGGGGAGGGGGGAAATTAAGGAGATATATATCCCCCTTGACCATTTTAGATTCTAAGTGGTGCGAAGAGCTATTATAGTTTTACAAAGATGTTTATTTTTTTTTAATCTGTGCGGAAAATATATAATGCTTATTTAATTATTTTACGATAACAATATGACATATACAGTAAATTCCGCTTAATTAAATCACTGGTTTATAGAATCATCCGTTTATTGGAATCAAAAATGAAAATCCAAAACCAAAATTTATGTTATTTGTGTTAAATTAACCTTTTATTAGAATCATCAAGTACCGCATAGTTAAATCACTTTTACGAACATTCGTATTATTCTATGGCATTGCATGTTTTTATTATAGTTACATGTATTTATATTGTATTTTTTAATTGTATGTTCCAAAAGTTACAGGTACAATGTACATATATTATTATATATTTAATTTTAATTATAGGTATATTAATTGAAAATGGATTTTAATTTCAGGATAATATAAAAATGAAATTAGTAGGTTCTCAAGTGCAATCGAAAATAGATAGCTTCTTTATTTTATTTTAAGTTTACGTATAAATATAGAATCATTAAAAAAAATGTTTTATGGAATCAACCGGTTAATAGAATCAAAATAACCCGAACCAATGTGATCACATTAAACGGAACTCACTGTATATATTGTTGACAAAACATCACTATCAACTGAACTCCGCTCGTTTTTTCATTGGCAATAATAGTTTATCATTGCTTACAGCTAGGTATATATTAAATTAACTATAACAACTGTGACTGCACCCGTCCCCGTTATCCTAAGAGTTAAGACAGCTTTTTTTAATATTTATATATTATGTATACAACAAAATATATTTTTAAATGCAGATTTTTTTTACTTTTTAGTCAAAAAATTAATAATTTAATGTGTAATTGATAGATATAGGTACCTATATAGATATTATATAACAACCTGTGTCAAAATAATCAAATAAACCTGTGTTAAAAGCTCTATAATAATATCGTTTGTCATCGTTTTGAATATTAATATTTTGCTAAGCCTAATTGAAAAAAAATTAGTGTTCAATAAAATGTAAATGAATACCTACATCTCAGAAAAATAAAACTAGGAAACAACATATTGTAGACGAATTGCAGAAAAACGTATTAAATTATATATTTTATTCATGACACCAAAATAAATTTAATTGAAGAACTAATTTAGTTTTTTGAGTTATAATTACCATTATAGTAGGCATTTATTTTTCTTATTAAAAAAAAAAATATATTTTCTCCGTGATATATATATATATATATATATATATAATAGATATTTTTTTTATCTGTAATTAATAAAAAATAGCACACTTGAGAATACAAGTAATGTATATTTCCAATACAATTTTAATATTGATAATATGATACAGATAATCACGATGCACTACACCAATTTCTACTAAATATACATATATTACGGAATAGGAGACAATAAATTATACTTTCATTTTAAACAAGAATTAAAATTTAAAAAATCTGAACATATACTTCGAACCATGCAGGATGAGGAATTTTTGTAGCTTATAGGTGGGAAGTTGGAAAGGTATGAATAGGATATAGGATAATTTAGTTTTTATTCACTGAAATCAACAATAAATCATTGCAATCAAAAAACCATTTTAATAGGAAATCATGAAACTGCAGGTTAGTTGATAATTTGTTTTTTTCACTTTGTAGCCAAGAAGATAACCCAGAATTTAAAAAAAAAATACAATTGAACTGTGCTTTTTTTTTTAATTTTTTAGAAAAACTTTTTTAAATAAAGTTTAATATCAAGCGGAAAATCGGAATTTTTAAGACACACAGCATTAAAAAAATAATAATTGTTTACTGACCAAAAAAGTGGTTTTTAAAGAAAAAAAATCTTAAATCGATAAAACTAATAGCTTCAACACTATATACACTCAGAATCTAAAAATTAAAACTAAAAATATATTGCAACGGGTGCAGTCATCATCGTAGTGATAAGAAAATATACGTTTTACGTTTTCTATGCTGTCGTTTTGAACATGGTAAACGTGTCGTCGTTAAAAAAAAACCACTCGGTCAATGTTATATAATATAATATACTAACAATATTTGATTTGAAAATTCGATAATATATTATACGATTTCTGTTCTGAGAAATGACACCAAGAGTATAATATTATAATATAGGTATGCGTGTAATACGTATTCCTATATAATATAATACGTCCAGATAGTATTAAAACAATTGGAAACGCGATGTTACGACCGACCGACCGAGTCGATTCGTTTACAAAAATGTTATCGTTTGCTCGGCACTGAAAGTATTCGAATTTAAATATTATTACGCACGACTGTCTTGGCACAAACCGAACCGCGTGTAAACATTTCTATCGGACACGATAGACACACGCAATAATATTTATAGTATACAATCGAAAACTAAAAATCAAAAAATAAAATATTATATACTTTATAGTGCTGCGCACTTTACATTATCAAACCATATACTATTTATTATAGGTATCATCAATCCCTTCCCCCTGGATTTATAGGGGGAAGGAGAAATTTTTGATCAACACATCAACAAAAAAATACCACTTTCACAAATTAATTAATTTTCTCAATTTATATTTTTCTCTATGTATCGTCATATAAGGAAAAATAGTGCATATTTTTATTTTTAAAGACTGGATTCTAAATTAATATAGTACCTACATTAAAGATGTTCTTTTAGATTTTCTCAGGGGGACTAAGTTAGTATAATTATTTGTTTCTTTTTTTTTATATAAATTAACTCAAAACAATTTTAAAAAATGAATAAATAATATAATCTACTCTTCATGAAATAAATATAATAAATATTAACTACACATATGATCAGTTTTGACCCGGCTTTGATTATTTAATAATATATTACCTATATAGAGTATTACCTATATAGGTACCCATGAATTAAAAGTACCTTTAATCTGTTCTGTTCCTTCATCATCTTTGAAATAATATGTTTAATTGTCAATGTTTTATGATTCAATATGTTATACAAAAATGTATTTAGAATTTTTTTACCCCAATAAAAATTATTAAAAGTGCAAACAAATTATACAAATAAATTGCATAATATAGCCGCTACACAATTTCGTACACGGCACACCTAACATTTTGTGTTACACAAAATGTGTCGTACTACACACTATTTTAGTCCCTGCTAAAAACTTTACCTGCCGCTGATAAAAACTAGTCAATGTGCATAAATTACTCGTTTATTATTATTGTTTTGGATGTCAATACGCGTTACCTACATCATATTATGTATACAGTTGTTTACCTATGACCATCCGTTGCATAACAATTTTACAGCGATTTCAAAAATTCTACGGAAAATAATTAAACGACGTACAAGGTTAGGTTACGGGTTAGACGCATCACGTTATTATTGGTACGAAATGTTTGCTTTTATGTCCGACGTAATAATATTATTATCACGGGTACGATCGTAGTGGATATCCGTTTAAAAAAAAAACACACCTATACAATCGATACGGAATGAATTTATATTTTATAATATTAAAAATAGGGATCTACGATTCGAATCGTAAAAAATAATAAAATGTAAATCGTTAACCGAGCGAAATATTATGTACCTATTATTATTATTATTATTATTATTTAAGTTCGTTAAACATTTAGAAGAATTCTAATTAAAAAATATCAATTAAATATTATTATTATGTTATTATAGGCGCGTTTGCGGTTCAAAATTAATTTAAAAATCTCTTTCGGCGCATTAACCGCTTCTTAGTACGCAGCACGTCGTCGTATTGGATAATATTATTATTATTGGACGCGCACATGCTGTAGACTGACAGAGAAATTATACGTAAACTCAAACGGGCGGAACTCACGGTTTACCCGAATAGTACGTATGTTCAATTAAAAAAAAAAAACCAGAAGCGTACACACAAATCTCAATGGGTATTTTTCAATTTATTTTTAAATGCTGACTCGCATTTTTATCGTAAATAAAACTGCTTTGGTATAAAATTATATTATCTCTTTCAATCTCCGCGTCTTATTATTTCTGATCCTTATAACAGGTAACGTATATTCAGAGAAATCGTCGTCGTTTAACCCCCTTTTATATATTATACCGGTTCAACGGTTTTGTCCCTGCGCTCATTTCAACATTCGTTTATAATCCTCTAATGTAATGTTATTATAAACGCGCAAGAGGACCGAAGGAGACGTATAATTTATTAAATATATTAAAATATTAAAAATATTAAATTATCATCAGTGACGTGCACAAGGGGAGAGGTTAGGGGTTATATACCCACTCCGGTCGTTGGTTTATAAATACAACAACTATACGAGTATAAGTATATTTATTTAAAATTTGTATTTTGAAATTATGTACTATTACGGCCAAGTGCCCAATAGTTATATGGAATAAAGAACCCTCTATTTGTTGAATACAAACATTTGCTTTTTTTGGATCCGAACTTTTATATTCACAGCGTTCAGTTGGTTTTTTGTAAATAACATAAGACGATTTATTCGAGAATCACTATTATGATTTACATGACATCCCTTCCAAATGAAAATCCCCGGACACACTACTGGATTGTAGCGGACGTTATCGACTACTACCGCGGTACTATATTACTACTTACTATCTTCCGCTTTACAGATCCGTCACCGCTCACACAAACGCACACTGTCTAACACGAATTAACAGCGGGCGGTGACGGCAAAACAGTTATGTGTATGCGTTTTCCGACAGCACTCCTCAGCAACCGGTAGCGCGCATTGTCGTCGTCGATCTCATCCGCCTTACTACTACCCGTCCGACGTATTAGACGATTTTATCTTCCCGTCCGATACGTGAATCTCGATCGATCCGTTTTCAAACCACGGTCGATTTTTTGATTCGTTTTTAAGTACTTTTATGCGACGTACCAGAATCTCCGTGTGTCGACTAATTTTTTTTTTTAATTCCAACCTTTTTTTTTCTTTATGAGCATTTGCCGATTCGTCAACTCTCTGAAATTGTATTGCAACCTAACCTAACCTGTTCTTGTAAAATATTTTCATTTTAAAGTGCCATTAAAAACAAACGTTTAGATTTGGAAAAAAAAATAAATAAGGTTTTTTCTTCCAAAAACGTATCGTTATAATCAGTATACTTAAAAACTGCATGAATGATATATTTTTAATAAATTAATAACCATGCCACGGTGTTAAATAAATCATCCGGTACATACACCTTTAATACAATATTATTACGAGTATTTTCGTATATTATGCACATATCGCCGATCGTCATGTACGGCCGCCACGCGCCGTGCGCCGCCGTCACGGCTCCCGAACTCCGACGACGTCGGTGACTTATACGTAATAATATTGGCGCACTGCATTACCGCGACAATTCGAAAAAAATACACAAACCATTAACAATAATGTAAAACAGTTGATAATGCTGATACATACATGTTGTAGGTGTTAGGTTGGAAGGGAGGAATCCTAAAGTAATTTATGTTAAAATTTTGATTCTCATTAAATTAAAGGGTACTCTAAAATCTATTAAAGAAAAATCCATTAAAGGTAACTCTGTCCAATTCGTGTAACCGAAATTGTGGCCATAGTCCTGATGGGAATAAACTATATATTCTCGGCAAGGCCCTTTTATCCAAAAAAATAATTTTGTTTTGAATTCAGATTTATTAGTTTGTATTCAGTGTGTCAGTGTACATAGAGTATATTAAATAGTTATTTTAGTATGCAAAATTATGAGATACGTTTTATACAAAAAAAATGAAGAAAAACCTAAGTTACAAAATAGTATTACTTTGACATTTGTTTAATATTGTACCGATTTTTCCCAATTTCCTACGTTTTTCCCGGTTTTCCCAAGTTTTATTCCGGTTTTTCACATTTTCTGGGAAAACTCCTGAGAAAATCGAAAAATGACCTCCCCAGTGAAATTTCCTTTCAGAAACATTGCTATCATTAAAATTTGGAGTTGCTGGTAAAAAAGTTGTTCACAGGAAAAAAAATCGTAATTTATATTTATTATATTTCGTACATTTCCCTGTTTTTTTTCTCGGTTTTTCACATTTGATGAAAAAAATTTTGGGAAAATCGAAAAATTACCTCCCTAAAGTACTTCCTCATACCAATTTCCTTTCAGAAAAGACCCTACACATAAAAATACTAGTAATTCTTCTGGTAGTTAATAGATAAAACAAATTTAAAAAAATTAAAGAAATATACATTTTTTTAAAACCATAAGCTTCTTCGCTCGAGAAAATGGGCTTTGTAATTTTATTTCCCTATAAGGCTCTGTGTATTTTATTAAATGCAAATGTTTGTGTAATTTTCATTGTATCTAAATTGTATTTAGAAAATAAATAATTTTACACTTTTTATTTTTTTATTTCTAACTAATTTTTAAAACAAAATATGACATTGTCCATTTTTGCACCAATCCGCAGATATATATTTATAAATATAAAAATGATCAATGGGGGGGGGGCTTCAACACCTTAACCCCCCTGCGTACGCCACTGTCCTTCTCCTCTCCTAATATATACGTTTCACCAGTGCAGGGTTTCGTTATCAAAACGTACACAGGATTTACACATAGATATGTACTACGGTTTTTGTCGATTAAACAAGAAATTTATGATACCAGTGTCAAGGCTGTCGAGCGGGGTGGCGGTGAACGGACAATAATAATATTGTCGAGGCGCATGTGACACCTACGACGCGAGCTAGACGACCATTTACACAGCACAAGGAGAGAAAGCGCATATAGTGCATTGTATTACTGCAAGTGTAATAATAATACGTCGATTATTATTATCATTATTATTTAAATGAATTATTTATGCGCCACAAATGTGTATACGCACGTACAACGTATTCCATTGTCTGGAGTATTTTTTTTTTTGTCGCTATTTCCCTTTTATTTTTTTACTTTTTACTTTTTCCGTTAAGTGGGTTATAAATTATATCAACGTCTCCGAGAGAATATCGCACGGGTGACTCCACTACATTGTATTATTATTATAGTAGAGCGTTGCGAAACAACTACACGACGACGGCGGCCGACAAGGGAGATAAAATTCCAAACGTCCACGATGACAAATTTTATTATGATGGTCAGAGTATCTGTGGCAGACACATGTTAACATTTTTATAAAATTACTTTTGAATACAAAAATCATTAGAATAAGATATTTTGTAAAAGTCGTTAGAACGGTTTATCGATATATAAATATATTTTTGGTCCGAGTGAAGAAAGGTTTAAATCAATTTTTTTTTTTTATAATTTTTTCTTTAGTAATTTCCTTCCCCATTCCCTTTATTTTTAGTCTAAATTACATGAGTGTATTATTTTTAACATTTAATTTGCTTGTACTAATGAAGCTAAACACAATTTATATGAGCCCTTCTCCCCTGGGACCGAAGATATATTATGATAATTTATAAATCTAACGCGAGACACTGCAGAAGACACATTATACAAAGAATGTAATACGAACACGATCGGGTATCAAAATCTTTATTATCTAGATCTCCATAGTATTAATGTTTAAAATAATACTAATTGCTGTTTTCGCGAATTTTAATTTTAATTTTTAATTTTTTCAAATTAAAAATAAGCTGATACTGCTGATGAGTGTGCAACTGTTTTAAGAGTTGAAAGGGATGGTGTACAAAGTTATACCTGTACACAACCATTGCTTACGAATAACGATTCTAAACAGATATTATAAATCATATTTTTTCCTTGTTGTCAAAATAACCCAGAAATCAATAAAACTTATACGAAAATGTGCCAGTTTTTCCTATTTTATTAAGAAAACTGCTAGAAAAATTAAAAAATTACTTCACTACACCGATAACTAAAAATAAAAATTCTACAAGAAAATTACTATAATGTTTTTATTAACACTAATAGAAAAATTATTTACAAACACAAAATAATCATATATCTAGTAAAACCGATACATTTCTAACTTTGTACGAAATTTATAAAGTTAACTGTAATGTAATTATATTTGTTTTAATTTAGTAAGTCTAGAGTACGAAAGGTAAAACTAATAAAATTTAAACAGTCGTTTTAAAAATAGTATACTCATACGACTTCTCTTTTGTAAATAGCCTCATGACGAATTATATAAATTCCGATTGGCTGAAAATGTACATGTATAATATAATAATATATAATAATATATTGATTTTAATTTTTACTGTATTAAAAAGTAATTTCAATAATCACCACGTGATGAAAAATAATTTAACGAAAGAACCCGATTTTTTTGAATGTCAAACTTGTGGTTACGCATATATACTATAAAGGTACGCGTACACTATTGTAAACAAGCGTGTGAAACTATTATAATAAATAAAAAAATATACATATATAAAATAAAAGTTAAATTATTAAATACCTATATATAATAACATCAAACAATATTCCTACTCACTGATGAATTATTCATATTTTATTTTTTACTTTCATTGCTATTGAATATTGAATTAGGTATGCATTAGATGGATGTAATGTAACGTATGTATGCTCATACCTATGTACAAGTATACCTATTCGAGTAATAGACTAATAGGAAAATAAGGAACGAGTAAATAATTTTAAAAGTTTACCATTTTCTATCAGTGCATATTTAGATTATATAAAATGATATGATTTTAAACTTATGAAACTTAGAAGACTTATATTTTGTAATCAGTTGTCTATATGATCAGATTATTAGTCTGTTACTAATCACAACTAATTTGAAAACATATATAAACACGCGGAACAGTAAACATTTTTGGATTAGACGATCTTCGTCATCGCATTATACATATAAGTCACGAGTCAAATAACTTAGGTCATAACAAACGTACACTAGTCAGAATCTCAGTACACGTGTTTCGTTTTGCCACTACAGATTATTAATAATATAATATTTTGTGCACAACCGTTTTACGCATGTTTACAATGTAACGCGATATTCGTAATAATATTATTATTAAAATTTTATCACGATTTCAGACGTTGAATTTTTAATCTCCCTCAACTAGTGATTTTGTATATTTTATTTCATTATTTTTTTTTTACCACGAAATCACCATTGCCGCTGGCTGCCGATCCCCGATTATGCCTATATTATCGGACCGGGTGTGCACTCGAATGGTGGCCATTCATATATTACCTGCAGTACGCGCTGCACTATTAGTTGTTGTATATAGTAGCCGCGCATATAATGCATACATATTATAATAATATTATGATTAACATGGGAAATGAGTGTGTTTCAAGGTCACCGAGGAGGACCAGGTGTTGTGTAACGATATTTTCGGCTATTAACCCGATTCCAAATTAACAAATAAGCCACACGAACACCCATATTTCATATAATAGATATACGCACGAAATTATATTTTCGTGCCCGCAGTATTTCCTTACCTCTCCCCACGCAACGATATTTTTCGTTTCTTTCATATTATTTATTTACACACACACACATTCACATATACATACATACTCATTTTTGACGCGTACATAATCGATTTGACTCGGAATGACCATCGACCGTATCTTCTTCTTCACTGTCGATCTGGGCAAATAATATTTATAAGTAAGTACGTACGATTGTATAGGTACGTATTATCGTATTATTCGTCTTTACAATAATAATCATATATATTGACGGTGAATATCACAAAAATCGGATGAAGTGGGGGATAAGATTTATTGTCGTTATAAGTCCATTATTCGCCTCCTGTGCACCCTGTCCGTCGCTCTGCGAATGAACTCAAACGAGTATTAGAGTGATCATACTGTTGTATCCTCAAATAATAGCATATTAATATATGTTTCGTTAACTACATCTGTTGGTCTGCGCGTGCTAAGTACATGCCTACTTCCTTATAAGATAACATTGGTATCAAAAGTAAAAACATTCCGATTATTATATTATTGTTTTAATGAATGCACGAACGTTTAATTACAATATTATTATGATTAGGTATAGACGTTTTAATCAACTGCATACAGAAAAAGAACAATGAATGAATACGGAGAGAGGACTCGTTCATTAAATGTGACTTCAATTGGGGACAAATGCATGGTTGCCGAAATTCATCGTTGACACTTCTGTCTGTGTCGAATTTGAGAAAAAAAAACTAACATCGAGTTAAAAATTTAAAATAAACTCGTTGGGTATGTCGCTGTAGATAATAAAAGTATTATAATAATCTCAATTATCATCAATGTAAGATAATATTTTTGTTTGACCAAAAATATGAATTGTAACGTAATTGTGAAGGCGTGAACGTTTCATTTACCTTGGATTGTTATTATATGAGATTTCATTTAGAGCAAATATTATTAATTCTTTTTTCAATAAGGTCTTCGAATTATAACGCGTGTTTACGTGAACAACCTAGTGTCAGTAACGGCTTAATATATCACGCTGATCCATTAATCTAATCAAAAATAAATGCGTACGAGAAAAAAAAATACTAGAAAATCAACTGTCCACTCTCACTTGATATTTTTTTATACATATACGAACCAACAAAATATGTGTATAACGCACATCAATATAATATTATATGCAATGGAAATTAATCGAAGAGATCAATGATCGACCGAAATTATAAAAAAAATTTTAAACTCAAAATAATTATTAAAGTTAGATTTTATATATATATATATAATAATAAATAGAAAGCATTGTTTTTTTTTTGTTTTGTTATAACTTAACTGATTAAGATTTAAATGTATGCGATGTGAAAAATGGGGTCTTAAACTAAACATATGTGTAGCATAGTATATGAAGTAGAAGTACGTGTACATGATGATCATGAAGTATTTACGAAATATAAAAATATTTTAATAAGCCCGATATTAGTACGATTATTCAATATAATATATATTAGGAAAAATAATAAAATATTTTTTATGTAAAATAAATAAGTATATAATGATTTATGTGCATAAATAAATAACCGCACATTTTTCGTTGTATTATCCTTACGGAATTCAAATTGTTCTTTTTTTCTTTTTTCGATGTTATGTCGAGTCGGTTTTTCTCGGGTTCGAGTTTATTGACCCACTGTGTATTTATTATAATAGTAGAGATCCTTTTTACACTGCACTGGATCCAGATAGTATCGCAACGGCACCGCGGCCGGGATTTTTTTTCTACTTTGCTTCCTTGATCTCCTGTACAACTGCAAGGCGATTGGTACTTGCCTTATTATACGAGTATAATGAACGGCACGGGCCGAGTTTTATTAACTTTGTGATTTGTGCGTTGTTCTAGCGACATGATTAAAAAAAAAGCAGAGATCGTGAGAGGCGAAAATGTACGCTCGCCAGCAATAAACAGCTGTTAGGAGTCGACGAAGACAATATCGACTTATTATCGTCAAAGACAACGACGACAGTACATCGAGCACGGTTTTGAAAGATAAGGTCGGGACATTGACTGTCTCCACTGTCTTAATTTTGTTGTTGCTTAGAAAGGCGATTCCAGTTCACTTTATAACCAATTTTTTTCAGAAAGCGCCTCAAACTTTACCCTTTTTATATGTTAAAAATTGTAAAAAAATTTAAAAAACTACGGGTTGTTTTATTTGTTTAAATGTAGATAGTGACATTTTTTACATTTTGTTTTTTTAATTAAATAACAATATAATCATTATTTTATTTGAATTAATTATAATTATGATATTTCAACCGAACCCCAAAATACACAAAATAACGATCGTCACGCTATTGAAATACTTAGCGAATAAAATAGGTATTCACTAAAACTGCCTCTTTAAGCGGCCGCGTTTGATAGCCCAGAGTCCTGGCCTTATCTTTTAAGACCATGGTACCGATAGGTATCCGAGATGTCGGTACCGGCCGGGTCCCGGTGTCAACGACTGATAATACACACGCACGCACGCACGCGGTTCCTCGAAAATCCGAAAAGAAAAAGAACAAGAACAAAAATTCCCAACACTCGAAACGCCGTTTCAAAAGAAAACCGACGGGAGATTTGTATTATACGTGTGTGTTTTTTGTTTTGCATGTATAACGCGCGCGCGTTTATTGTGTAACCACGTAAGGGAGTACTCTACATAACTCTTTTCATTGAATCCAACTTCATTGTTTCGTAAGAGAGAGAGAGAGAGAGAGAGAAATATGTTTATTGTCGCCATTAAACGCAACAAGTAATTACTTTTCGTGCCTCGGGCCGTTTTTCGTCGAACAAAAAAAAAAAGTATATATTTAAAAAAAAAACCGTATCTATCGAGTAGGTACCGTATACAGCACATGTTTTCTCCAACAATAAAATTAAAAATTAAAATCACATTTACGCGCGCCATTTGTTTCCGTTGGTATAAGTATTTCAAGGGCTATAATATACTCTCTCGAATATTGCGAGATTAAAAAAAAAATCCACAATATTTATTGAATAAATACAAGTAATACCGCCATTAATACATAAGATACCTATATATATTACACTGTGTATAATAGTTAAGTACATACTACGTTATAGTGACGTGCCCATAGATATGTCCGTATACCATTGTAGACGTCAATGTCAAAATATGTAATTGTAAACGTTAAAATAACATAATACTAAAATGTTAATTTAATTTTTGGGCTTTGTTATCATTATTCAAACCGGTAGGTTTATATTATAGAAAATCAATTATTATTCCGTATATGCTATAAATGAATAGTATCTGCACTTATACATGTTGAATGTACTGTCAGTTGGATCATTATTATTGAAATGATCCTAGACGGGAATAAAAAATATGTCCTAAAATAATTATTTTTCAAAAGCAATGTAAAAAATTGTTTTAATAAAAGTAGGTACCTTTTTTTATATGACATGTATAGGTCATACAACGTAGAATGTAATTAAATAATATGACTAGTGGCGTGCCCAGAAATTTTCAACGGGAAGGGTTTTAGTAAATATTAATTATAAATAAATCGTAAAATTTTATTCTTCACCCAACTCTGCAATGGAAATTTAAAAACCTAATCAAAAAAATCAGTTTTAATCAAAAAATTAAGTTTTTCCTTGTAACTTTGTTTATATGCGAATAAATATATACACTTCAAGATAAATTACTAAATAAATACTCATAGTTTTAATATTAAATGCCAGTTGGCAGGGAGTAATATGACACCTAACCTCCATATACGTGCAGATCTCGTAAAAGAATATGGCGTAGGATTAAATTCCAATAAACTTTACAACAGTTTACAAATCATTAAAGTTTATAATTCAACAGCTATAACATTATAATAATACTATGTTAATTTAAATAATTAATTGATCGCTTTATTCCATAAAAAACTTCATAATATAATAATATTGTTGTATATTTTTATGATTTTTTTTTATTTTTATTTGACGACTCCTCGTAACTTTAGAATGTCAGCTTTGAAATGACTAAATGAGTTAAACGACGCGTGTTCGGTACTATATAAATTGCGTCTATAAAATATAAAAATGTTAGACTCAGACGTATTAAAACATTAATAAAACAATTATAGTCGTCGATATATATACCCATTATGGGTAATTAAATTATGACGGACATTAACATGTACACAGTTTATCGTTTACGTACTGCGTACATACTGGTGTATAATAAATTGATATTGTAAAGTCTCGACGAATAGTTAACAATCGATTCCAACGATTCCAAATCTATAAAATGTATAGACGTTAAGTTATTATTTGTATAAATCGCCAACAATCGTTTTTTTTTCTTTCTCAAAAATGTAAAATCCATTAACTTAAAATTAAATAAATTCCCATAAACGTATTAGACTATAGGTATTGGAATATTTTTAAACACACATAGTTTGTCGACAATTATATTATTGTATTGCATATCTAAAGTACGAGTAACTATTGAAATTATTTATTTATGAAATTCGATTTTTGTCATAATTTACACCAATATTAAAATACGTGTACCTACCTACATTTTATAATATTCACATCAAATTATTGGTTATGAATATTTTCAAAATTCACAGAACCGTTTAGTGCGTAAACCCACCTACATTCTGAAAATCATTCTCTTGTATTATTTTTGAAAATATTAAACATTTAAAGGTACCACACTAAAAAAAAAAAATGTAATTATCTTATTAATTACCAAAGGGTACATAAGTATTAAACTATCACAAACAGGTTTTAGTTAGCCGTAAAAAATAAATATACGTATAATATCTAATGTTTCGAATTTCGGTTACACATATAGACTATAATATTGGAAAGATCTAATCAGGTTTTCGTTGGACTATAGAACTATAATCCGCAAAATACGACCTATTCATATAAAATGTCGAAACTAAGCATACAAATCTATAGAAATTGTATTTTGTTAAATTCAGTTTTTTTTCCCCAACACTATTGTACTATTATTAATCCACGTAAATCAGGAAATAACATTGGGAAATATAAGGAAAAATAATAAAATAAAATAAAATAATAATTCACAATATACCTACCTAAATTTTTAGGATTGGTACGTTATTGGTACTCTCATTGTTGTTCGAGGGAGAAAATAAGGACAAGGATATAATATAATCAAAGAACAAAAAAAAAAAATAATAATAACAACATAATGTCTCCAGAGCACTACATATATCGATACGTGAGTTCATTTATCCCCCGACCTACAGCGAGAACAATGTCCAGACCGTATATTTCTCTTCCCTCGCCACTCCTCCGGCGTTTGGCATTATATTATCTATTCGCAAAATCTCTTAGTGGACCTGCTTCTTCTCGGTGCCATCATGAATGTCTCTTGATTTATGGGACGACCTCCGGCCAGTGCGAGTATTGTCATGAACATTATACACATACCTTTTGCACATACGCACACATAAACACACACACACTAAAACGCTGCACATGCACGTATACGGTGGTAGTATAGTTAATTTAAAAATATACATTTTCTCGATATATACTGGCCATACACCGAACTGAATTCACAATTAATATTACCTAACCGTTGAATTTTTTTTCCTACATAAATGCACGGTTATCGATTTTGAACTAACCTGCAAAAATATGCATACCTATATTGGTTTATATATATATTATATACTCGTATTATTATAACCTATACGCCTATCTGAATACGTTATTAATTAAAATTCCACCGGATCATAATAACCAACAACCGAACTAATCAGTTTGCGTACTGTTCCTGTGTTTCGAAATGCCTATAAAAATATTATTATATATATATAGGTATTATATTATGTGCCATAAAATAGTATACCTACCTAATATGTTGACCTTCATTTGGTATAGATTGTTTAGATATTTAGGTCGTCTTACTAAATTATAGTATGTAGTGGCCATACGTGTCTTATATAAAAAGTGTACTTGTGATATTATAACTTTGTAACGCTCAAGGGACTGGTAAATCAATTCGGTGCACAATTCAGTTTTTAATACTCGTTCAATAATACAACACGCTGTAGGTAATCCGTTCGTATATAGAGTGTAACCCCGGGAGAGACTTAAACGCAGTGACAATACACGAAGGAGGTTGACGACCGGAGTTACAGAATATATATTTTTTTAATAGAAAAAACTCATAAATATAACATTTGATAAATTAAATAACTCATGTACGGAAAAAAATACATAATAGCTACATATTTGTATTTGCTACTGTATTATAAACTACAAGAGCATTATAATGATACACGACTGTATATACTAAATATTAAGATTAAAATAAAGAGTTAGTATACACGAGTAAAAAAGAAACCTATAAAACAAGTATGTTTAATTAACTCATAAAAACATCGGCATACTTCAAAAAGATTATTATATTATATTATTAATTAAAATCATTATTAAAATCGATTTTTATATTATAAACATTAAAGTCTCGAAATGAGATCACTTCAAAATTGAATACATTATAGAAGATATTTAATATTATTTTTATCTAATCAGTTTTTAATTTAATTTTATACGATTTGCATAACGTTTTACTTCCCAGAATAAAATAAATCGAATTAGAAAATAATATATTTAAAATAATCTTTTTTATAATAAAACAAATAATTGCTAAAATTAAAATTATTTCTACGACTGTAAAATACTTATCTATAAGTAAGTATAGTTAAGTATATAATATAGTTGTTTATAATACATTAAAACTTTTTTATAAAACCATTTCTAACTTTTAAATAATTAATTGATGATCCTGATCTGGTTAGAAAATCAATTGCAGTACGCATATTATAATAAAATTCGTTTATCGCTCACATATGCCTTTTTGAATTATAAATTATCATAACTACTAGAATAATCAGCTTATATCCATCGTTTAATACTATTAACATAATCCCTTTCTTTTCTTTTTAAACATTTCAAAGACGGATAGTTATTTCTATTTACTGTCACAAATCATAAATATAGTATTATAATGTATAATACATATTTTTGTCAGTAGGTACAAATATTGTAGTATAAACGTCAAACGTTGTGCTTGGACTGTTATTTATTCAGAAAATGAATACGTTTTAAATTTTAATGTGATTTGTTTCGAATTCTGACCGTGAAAATAAAAATTTCGAAAAAAAATTAATCAAATATAGTCACTGCCAGCTAATCGCCCACCAGACACGAGATTCCACTCGGTCACGCTCTAATTTCGCTAATAAAAAGCGTACGCAAAAGTAATTTCAATATAATAAAAAAAAAAATTCAAAAATCCTAACGAATCAGAAAATAATTATTAATTAATAAAAACATAAATGTCTTTCTCTATAATATTATTTTATTATAGGTATCGAATAATGACTGAGCTTCTTCAAAATGATTGGATTTATATTAACAACCGGTGTTTTAGGTCAAATAATATATTATTAATTCGGTGGCTAAATAACAATAGAAAAAAAATATAGTTACATTCGAATGAAATAACTATACGTTAAAATATATAAGTCAAGTCGATTTTTTTTTTTTAATTAAAACACCAGTCACTGTTATTATATATTCACGGTTCGGTAATTGATTATAATAATACATCGAGATGTATAATGCGGTAACGTGTTTTCAGAAACTTACGGTATAATAAATTGTCCAAAATCGCCGTATTATGTTACGATATTATAATATATTGTATAAAATAATATTATTATTTGTCGGTATTGTTGGCAAATGTGGTTCGTCAAAATCGGCAACTTCACCTCGTGCGCGATGCGTTTTCGTATATGTATATATTAAATTAGGAAAATTAAAAATAATAATAATAAAAAACACTTAAATCGGCGACACAAAAAATTACGACTTAACTGAAAAAGAAAACAATACAAAACGTAACGAAAAAATATATTATTTATATATTATGAAAATCGAACACGATTCGGGCGCGAACCACGTGCAGTTGGTGTGCGCGAGAACGAGTGGTAGCTGACACACTCGGCGCGCGTCTGAGTGGGCCGACGCGCAAGAAAATACTGACCCGACTGGTCGCTCGCTCCGTTCGTTTTGTATCTTTGACGGTGGCCGTAGTACACGCACGCGGTTTTTACCCATATACACGATGACGACTCCCGAGAAAGACCTCTGGTTATCGTCGGACAAACGTCTCGTCACTCGGTATTAATAATAATATAGAAAACGGGATTTAAAAAAATTATAATAATAATAATAATAATAGACAATAATAAAAAAAAAATCTCCGAATAAAATATGTGATTTATACAGTTTTTTTTTTTTTTTTAAACCTTATACGATTATAATTTTACGGAAAATAGGTTTTCGACGGATTCACTTAGCATACCATAATAATATAGTCTAATCTCATTTTTTGTACTAACCATTATAGATATATAGGTGTACAACATAACGACCTAAGTACGACAAATTTTATATTTTACACATTATTATTATTTATGGTTATAATAATATGTTGGTGTTATTCTGCTTTCAGACTTAATTCATCTCGAATATTATTCTCGTCTGGTGTACTTACACGCCATTAAAAATCATTACCATGCGTGGTATTTGTGCTATAACGGGGGTTTGGAAACCGTGATTTTCCGTGTGTGTCAAACATACGCGCAACATAGGAATTTAAACGTATTTTAATTCTAACGTACGGAATCGATCCAGTAAAGCGATACAAATTCTGGAAACAGACATGAATTTGTCATCAAATCTACTTGAGATCGACTATCCCTCATTCTTGACTTAATCTCTCTAAATCCTAAAATCATCATATCTATATTAAAAGAGCTTGGCGACAAATTTAAATCTGTTTTCAGAATTCTTATCACCTCACTAGATCATCTTTACTAGATCGGTATATTGGAATTAAAACACGTCTAAATTCCTATGTTACACGTATGTTAGACAAAGACGGAAAATCATCAGTTAAAATCCCTTTAAATGCTAATATATACCTTGTAATTATTCAAATTTTAACAGAAAAAAAATAATAATACGAAAATAAACACGAATTAATTTTAAAAATTAAATGTCTAAATGTGAATGCTATATTAGTGATCTTGAACTGTGAAAAATATTTATCACACACTGAATATGCTACTATCACAAAATAAACAACAGTACTACAATAGTACTACTATAACTGCTACTTTTCATTTTTCGTATACCTAAATATCAAAATAGTCCATAGAGTACATAGATATATAATATAGGTATATTATTATTATTGTTATTGTTATATGTCTATGATAAAGTACTATTACAGAATAATTTCTGATTCTGTGGTAGGTACTACTCTATTTAGTCGCGATATGAGATATTTTACTGAGTCGTATAAATGCAAAATAATAATCATGATCTATGTTTAATAAATAATGATTAATATCATAATACAGAATATCATCATTTCTGGTGAAGTTTTATGGATTTGAGAGTAGATCAGTAGATTTGCTGAACTGAACTACGTTACGGTGCAACTAGAGGTTGAACAGTAGGGATACTAAAATTAGGTAGAAGACAAGAGCTCGAGGGAGTGCCCCCACACCACCAAATACCATATTTCAATTTTATATTTACTATAACCATTCTTAAATGCACATAAAAACATAAGCACACTAATATTTAAGTATATAAACAGTAATATGTCTGATAAACACATTATAGGTATATTATATTATTTAGGTGATAAAAATAGTGACTAAGTATAAACAGATAAAAAAAACTATTTTGTTTTGTAACTTTTGTTAAAATAATTATACAGTTTAAATTTTTTAGCAATTACTATTATGAGGTACATTTTATAATTAAATCTATCTATAATTCAACATAATATGTTTACATTTACATATATTATATCATAATAATATTATTTTTCTATTAATACTGGAATACTTTTTCAGTATTTTTTAAGAATTAATTTTATTAACAACATCTTTTTCAATATTTATTATTGATAAATCTGTAAAATGCTGTTGCTCCATACTTGCTATTAGCCAGTTTTTTATACGACCCATTGATGAGCTCCCCTTACATATAGCAGAACCCACCGGAATTGTAACTAACTGAAGAATTTATTATCTATCTCACTGCAACGATATTGCCGATGTTATATACCAGCTAAACTTTGACATAACTAATCATTACAATCGATTTTTTTTTCAGCTAAAGCGCCAAATAAAAACAAACCCTACGTAAAACAAATTAAACTCTTTTTACATTCTGAGTGGAGCAATAAAGCTTATAGTTTTACAAATATATTTATTTTTTTATCTGTGTGCAACTTTTCTATCTGAAATCTAGTTCCGAATTTTAAGTGTAACACCTTTTTTGAAAAGAAAAAAAAGAAAAGAAAGGGAAGGTACTTTAAGGAGGTTATTTTTATGATTAACTCAGGAGTTTTCTCATCAAATGTGAAAACCGGGAAAAAACATTGGATAACCGGGAAAATCGGTACAATATTAAACAAATATTATTAAAGAAAATAAATAAAGCTTATTTAATTATTTTACTATAATATTACACACATATTGTTGACAAAGAATCAATATAAACTGAACTCTGCTCAAACTGGCTTTTTCGTTAGCAATGGTTTATCTTTGCATACACAAATACATTAAATTCACGTCTGTATCCTACCTTTCCAACTTTCCATATATAACAGTGGCTGCATCCACATGCGAAGTATGTCCGTATTTTTTTTTATATATATAAGTTTGATGCCCAGATTTTTATGAAAATTAATCAATAGTAATATCATACAATTCCATATGGTTATTATTTGAGGTATTTACCTTACCGATTGTACTATCAGTACCAAAATGCACCAAAGTTACAAAAATTGTAGGTATGCTTCCTAATTAATACTATTTATTTATTTGTACGATAATAAATATTGCAAAATCACGCGCAGGCTAATAATGTTGGCAATAATATTAATTATTTTGTTTATTATACGAGTATTTAATCGAATCGTAGTAAATTATGTTTCTTAAATTTGTTTCATTCATTGTCGTTTTTAAATTTTTATTTTTCTGAGTTATTTTATAATCATTCTTTTAAACATCATCAATAGTTTTTTTCATCGGTATAATAGTAGTATTTTTTTTTTTTTTTCTATTTTTTTCGTAATTCTTTTTTTTTCCTTTATGGTTTTTCCCTGATTATTTGCACGCGAGCTCTTCGATCCAAGACTGCTGGTATGTTATAGAATAACTTTAAGGAACGAGGATCGGGATTTGGTGATCATATTATATTATAGAATGTAATATTATGGACTTAAGGTAAGGTTAAATTTATCGATATAGTGGATTAGACCCACTCGGGGACTACTTTAAAAAAAAAACGCGCCTTGAGCAAAACCTTATACGCTTTTCAAATAACGCCAAATACTCGTAATAATATTTCATTGGCATTTGTCGATACCCAAGGTGGTGCGGAAAATTGCACATGAGTCTAATCCGTATCTTTATTGTAATCATTCGATAAAATTCGATATTGTAGGCATTAAATATTTTCTTTAATAGTATTTGTTTAATATTGTAACGATTTTCCCGATTTTTCATATTTATTGAAAAAACTCCGGAGAAAATCAAAGAAATTACCTCCTTATAGTACCTCCCCAGTCCGATTTCAATTACAATTACAATTTCAATATTTTAAAATTGTTTTGATGTTAAATAGACATAATATTGTAATATTTATGTGAATTTCAAGACTTAATCTATATTATTTTGATGGTGAATAATATACTGTAGATACCATTTATAATGACACCGGTTGTGTGTACTAATTTGTATCGATTATTACGATAGTTCTTTTTGGTTATATTGAAAAAATCTGCATGATTTTTAATCAAGCAAAGTACAAGATAACAGATTTTTTTTAAGTTAACGAAATTTAGTTTTAGGATAATAAAATAACTTTTTTCTTTTTTTTTCTGTATGACGTATTAAAGTCACGATTTGATAAAAATATGACACATTGATTTTAATACAATATTATGATCATATAAATACATATATACATACTTTTACATATACATAATCAAGTTTTTAAATTTTATTTTATCAGTTTTATTATAATTGTAGTTTTTTTTACTGGAACAATATTTCTGGTAGAAAACAAACCGTAAAAATTTAAAATAATGACATATCTGTTTGGTGTTAAAATTAATAACTGTTGAATATTGATAAGTGTAAAGTTATGTCTTACTAGGTCTCGCTCTCCAATTGTTAATGATTATTCCATAGATAATATTGTACTCCAGCGCGTCTTTGAAATTTGTAATTTGGGCTTTAAATTTGACTCTACTCTTTCATTCAACAAGCATTATTCAACATTACAAAAAATATATCTACTACATTAGGATTCATAAATTGGACTTGTAAAGGTTTTACTAATTCCAAAGCCTTAAAAATTCTCTATTCTTCTCTAGTGCACTCAACTCTAGAATGCACTTTAGTCATATGGTCTCCAAGTGTTGTCCATATATAAAGTCTTGAAGCTATTCAAAATCGATTTCTTCGATTTATTTCGAACAAATGTAATATGCTCCGTCAACCACATTCAAATTATACACCGTTATTAATCAAATTAAATATGACTAGTCTAGCTGAAAGGAAAAAATCATTTATTTGAAGTTTCTATATAAAATAGTAAATGGGTATTTAAACTGTCCTGAGTTACTAAGCTGCTTAAATTATAATGTCTCCCTTTGTCATACTAGATCTGCAAATATGTTTTACATTCCTTTTCAGAGAAAAATGCATGCACTTGGTTCACCAATTTTAGATAGATGAAAGTATCTAATGACGTCCATGTAGATTTCTTTAATTTTCGTTCTTATGAATATTTTTGTAATTATGATACTTATTATTTATACATTTTTTTTTTCTTTACATAGTTTTTCTTTTTTTTTGCTACCTAAATTATTATTATCTGAGATATTATTTTGTAATTTTATTTTTATTTGTATTAAATATACGGGATAACACTTTTTAACATAGTATATATACATATACACATTAGTTGTTACAATTAATTACTTAAA